CCATAGGCATAGCCTAAATGAAGCAGCAAGACATGCTGGGAGAGACAGAAGGTAGGCAGCATGCACCAGGCAGGTCAGGGTACCACCACAACCACCACATTGAACACCATCTCCACTCAGAGCCTGATGGAGAAAGCCCAGGACCTTGAACCCAACAGCCTGGGAACGGCAATGCTTCTAGCCCAGTGCTCATAGCCAAAATCCTGGGAAGCATCCCCTGTGAGATGAAACCTGACAGCTCTTGGCAGGTGCTATAGTCACATCTACTGAATACACAGAAATCTTGTCACCTAAGTCTTTGGCACTGTAAAATGGCTCAACATCAGAAACTGGTATGAATTTATCAGTGAAAGTAACGTTAAAGAAGAAGCTAGCTCTAGAAAGCCAAATGTTAAATTTTCAGTATGAGCATTTGCACCTCCGAATTCAAAAAATGTTACAAATCAGGGCTTGATTTATTGTTTTGTTGATTTATTGTATTGTTTCTAGATTTAAGAAAGTGATGGGGAAATGTTAATAATGCAGATTAATCTTAAAAGTGTATCATGAATTTTTTTTTCTAGAGAGTGGGTGGTTAAATATTTGCCAGCACACTACAGGGTAGGGCAATGCAGTGAAGCAGTTTCTTTATAGTTCTTCTGTATGACAGTTCTTTTTACCACTATTCACTCTAGGGGATGTTAATGAATTATGTGGTCACAAAAAAAGTTGACTATCTGAGTCTATGAATCAGGTTGTTAGTCAAGAACTGGTTTCACAGATGTGGGGGAGGTGCCTCTGAGAGAGCCCTGTCAAGATTTTCACAATTGTCACACCTCAAATACTCGATTTCTTTCTCCCATGTTAAATTTTGAATCAAGCCAGTAGAGCACAGGACTCCTGTGGCCTCTTAGAGCAATCTTCAAAGCTTGAAGGCGAGCGCTCTCTAGTGAGCAGTGGTGATAATGCAGCTATTTGGGAAACAGCCTGTGTGAGCGCAGGCAAGAACCCCATTTGCTACTTCTTTGATAGTAGTGTCATCTGGTGACCAAATTGCATAATACACTCTCTGGCTGATAAATTTCTTACTTAAGAAATTTGACAGAAGGAATTATAGTATTATCTACAGGCATCAGAATTAAACAAAGGCTTTCTCTGTGGTAGAATTTATTAAAGATAGGTAAAGTCTGTGATTATTTGTGGAGAAAGAAAATAATAATGCTACTTATAGAGGGTTTAGGAGTAGAAATCTACAGGGTACTTCAGAAGATAGGAAGAGATGTATTAAGCTTAATATGGTTAATAACTCCCCTTAGTTTTCACAGTGTTTAGAGTAGTTCTAGATTCTAGATTCAAATAGCCGTGTTGCTGCATATTCGCTACTTTGAGAAGACCTAACAGGTTTGCCATGAAAGTGATACTGTTAAAACATCTCTCAAATGACAGTGGTCCCTAGAAGCTAATTGAAGACTCAGTTAAGTCAGTCATTTATATACTCAGTATTTCTTGTTTCCTATTTGCCAGGTACTGTGCTAATCCCTGGGGATATATAAAAAAAGGCAAAAAACACAGTTCCTACCCTCAAAGAGCTCACATCATTAATGGAGACAACACGCTAATAATTATATATAACTACAGAGATATTAGATAGATAGATAGACAGACAGATGGATAGACGGATGGACAGATGAGAGACAGACAGTATAAATAGAAGGTAATATCAGAAGGAAGGTTCTAGTAGTGGGAGTTGAAGAAACTGAGAAAAGCCTTTTGCAGAACATGAGATTTGATCTGAATCTCACAGGAAGCCAGGGAAGCCAAGTGGCCAAAATGAGGATCTACAGGCATGGGGCACATCTAGTGAAAAGACATGGAATCAGGAAATGGAGTATCTTAAGCGAGGTACAGAAGATAGGTTAGTGTGTTGGAATCATAGAATATCTAGAAGGAAGTACAGTGTAAGAAGATTGGGATGGTAAGGAGGAGCCAGTCTGTGAATGGCTTTAAAGGTCAAGTTTGCTCTTGGAGGTAATCGACAATGAAGTTTAAGGGGAAAGGAGTGCATGGCCAAAGGTGTACCTTAGGAAAATCACTTTGGCAGCTGAATAGAGAGTGGATTGGAGTGAGGAGAGACTTGAGGCAGGGAGACCAAACAGAAGTCTGTTGCAATTGTCCAGGGGAGAGACGATGAAGTCCTCAGAAGATGGTGGTTCTGTATAGAGAAGAGGATGTATACAAGAGATGTTGTAAAGATAGAAATGAAAAGACTTAACATATTGGATATATGGAGTAAATTAAAGTGAAGAATCAAGGATGACAATGAGATAGCGAGCCTGAGTGATTGGGGAATGGTGGTACCCTCCAAAGTACATTTGAAAGGAAAGAGAATACCTAAAGAAAATTTAGTTCACGATGTCCAAAAGGCAATTGATGAGGTGAGATTGGAGCTCAGGAGAGATTAGGGCTAGATGTAAATCATCTGTATAAAGATGATACTTGCGCTTACTGGAGCTGAGATCACTGAGATAGTATAGAGGGAGAAGATCTGAGTTAGACCCTTGAGGAATACTATCATTAATGGATATAACACAATCCATCCGGCAAAAGAGACAAATAGTCAGATGGGTAGGAATAGAACCAGAAGTCAGCAATGTCAAGAAAACCTAGAGAGGAGAGAGAATCCAAAGCGTGAAAATGATTGACAATGTCATGCGCTGCAAAGAGTTCAAAAAGGATGAAGGTTGAAAAAAAGCCATTAAGATTTGGCGATTAACAAATTATTGGTAACTTTGGGGAAAGCATTTTTAGTTGAATAATTCTATCAGAAGCAGAGGGTTTACAAGCAAGTGAAAGAAGTGAAGACATGCTGTAGTTTTCTTAAGTTCAGCAAGTAGAGAAATAAAAGATGGTAGCTAGGGAGTGGGAATAACAAAATAAATTGAAGTATTTTTAAGTCTGGGAGAGATATGGGTATGTTCATAGGCAGCAGATAGGGAAAGATTAAAAATTAGAGACAATGGAGATTTAAGAGAGGACAATCTGCTAGAAAAGATGGGAAGAAATGGGATTAAGGGTACATGTCGAAGGCCTTGCCTTGCTTAAGAGAAGGGGCACATCTTCATATGAGATAGGGGGTAAAGCAGATGGTGAAGGAAGATATCTAAGTGATGTGAAATCAGGAAAGGGAGCAGCTCTCAGTGAATGTCCTCAGTGTTTTTCAGTAAAGTGTGAGGCAAGATCCTCAGCTAAAAGGGTAGGGATAAGAGGTTTGGGAAGGAACGAAAAGGTTTGGAGTAGTCCCCATAGCAAGAAGGGAAGTTGCTCAATTAATAATAATAGCTAACATTTATATATGGAATATATAGCATGTTCCAAGCATTCTAAGCGCTTCACAACTGTTTTATTTGATCCTCACAACCTAGGAGGCAGGTGATATTATTATTCCCATTTATAGATGAGGAAACTGGAACAGAAGCTAAGTGATTTCTCAGAGTCGCAGAGCTGGTAGATTTTCCTAACCCAGGCCCTGTACTCTATCCACTGCACCACCTAGCTATAAGAGTACTGCTTTACTTCAGTGCTAGCTGCAGTTAAGATTATGTTATATAAATTTATATTGGACTCAGTCAACATGATTTTGACTTTTTCCAGCTTTGTTCAGCAACATGAGAATAGAAGTAGAGGCAAATGGTGGAAGATAAAGATGTGTATACAATTATAAAAGGGAGGCCTGGGCAAAGTGCTGATAAATTTAAGCAACAGACTGCATTCAATGGGAGTGTTAGGGTTAGGGTAAGTTTCATAAAAGAGGTAGGCCCCAAGTCAGGACCAGAAACTTCTTCAATGGAGAGGGGGATTAGTGTGAGTCCATTCCAGGCATCGGGGGATGGTGTTGGAAGGCACCAAGAGTAAGAGAACAATGAAAAAAACACATGGAGGGTAACCCAATGAGGCAGATACACAAAATATGTAAATATTTTATCTTTAGCTTGAATTAAACTAAAACCCCTTATTTTCACATGTAGTATGCCACCAATCTATGCTTCTATAGTTGATTTTTTGAATCAAATTTCAGGACTTTGCATTTGTCACTACTAAATTTAATCCTAATTTTGACTTTGCATACTGGCCTCTTCAAATTTTTTTTATCCTGATTTTATGACCCAACATATTAGCTATTCCTCCCAGCTAATAAAATCTGAAAATTTGCATTATTTGCCAAAGTCGTTGATAAGATGTTAAATGATATAACCATAATCACTAATAAGTTATAACCCTCAGCCATACACCCCACTTAAAAAAGCTATCAAAACTGTGCGTTATAGTGAAAACAGTGCTGGACTTAGTAGTGCACAACTAGATTAGACTCCTACTTCAGACATTTACAAGGTGTGTAATCATAGGTTTCTTTAAGCCTCAGTTTCCTCATGTATAAAATGGGGATAATAACCCAAATCTCAAAGAGTTGTTATAAGGATCAAATGAAATAATATGTATAAAACACTCTGAGAATTAAAGCACTGTCTTGATGTAAGCCACCACTACAGCACTAAAAAACAAATCATTCTGGTGGAACATTCATGTGAGTAGTATGATATAATATGCATAAAGACTTTCTAAAATACTTAATGCAACCAAAAGACAGTTCCGAAATACTCTCTAGTAGTGGGCTTTCTTCTCTCCTTCTAAATGAACCTTGAGACAAGAGGGAAAAAGCATCCTATTTTTCATACAACTGTTAAGGGAGGTCCCTTTTCTACCATCCAAGAATCACAGAATGTGAATCCAGGCTAAGGTGAACACATTTCATGTGTGGTAGCAAGGACATCTGAGAATGTTCAGATGAATGCAAACATGGAATAACAATGTCAGGGAGAAAACAATTCAGTAATACAAAAAAATGCCACATTTCCATTGGGACAAACAGAATGGGATATAAATGGCATGTAACAAAACCATGGATGATTTTAAGATCTAGATTAAAAATAGAAAAACAAAATATTCAAACACAAATTAGGGTTTGTTGGATTTTATTTTCTCTCTGTAACAAATTCATTAGAAAATTTTATTATACCTGATTTCTCTCTTCATAAATACAGATATACCTAACTAGATCCAGACCTGTGATTTCATGAGCATTACAAGTAGCTTTTGGTAAAGAAGATTCTTCTACCAACGCAGACCAGCAATTATTCTAAAACTGCGTGTTCAATAGTTGCCTGGGACTCCAAGAAGTTCAATGACTTGCCTAGAGTCACACAGTCAATATGTACCAGAGACAGGACTGGAATCCAGGCAGGTCATCCTGAACCTGAGACCAGCCCCTTATCTATCCCCAGTGTGGTTTTCACAGCTACAAACAGTAAGATAGGTAAGTTATGTTTTCCTTTTCTTGCCCCTCACATTTCTTTGTCTCCCTTTTTTTTTCTTCTCAAACACAGATCTAGCAGTCACCATAACAATTTGTGTCCCTTTTCCATCTTCATCACTGGAGCTGCTAGTCCCTTCTTCATTCTTCTCAGGATTATGTTGTGTTATCTCCTGAAAACCTGAAGAGACAGTATTTGACTGCTTGGCAGGTTTTCCCCTCTTGACCTTGTTTGAAGATGTACTTTCAGAATCTTCTCCTAAAGATACTTCAAATGATTCTGAGAAATAGGCTTCCCCAACAAAGCCACCTCCACCACATTTATTCTCCTGATTGGCACTGGAAAGCACTTTTCTTTTTAAATTTTGAGGTTTTTCCAATTTATTTTCTATGTTTTTCTTCCCATTTTTGTCCTCTGTTTTTTCAAATGATTTAAATTCTCTCTCCATGGCAGCAGTAGCTGCTTCTATTTCACCAGCTTCTTCTTCCTTTTCTTTCCTGAGCATACATGTCACAGCTCTGTTGAGTCTCTGACTCTTAATTCCTTTAACATGTTGTTTCTCATGTTGTATCAGCCTAAAGAAAGAATCAATGTGGAGCTGTGTCTACAAAAGAAGAAACAAAAACAAATCAGAAAAGGAGGTAAAGTTTATCACTATCCACTCCAAAGAAGAATAACGTGAATACTAGTGAATGACACCTGATTACTATTTCAGAAAATAATAATTTGTTGCCTTTCAAATGAAGTCAATTCTATCATAGGTAGATTATCTAAAGTAGATCTTGTTTTCTAGGTCTTCCTGATTTTCCACAAAAAAAAGGAAAGAAAAAAAACAACCTCTTACTTTCTAGGTTTTACTGACAGCACCTGCACTGACTCTGCTAATTAAGACCTTTGTTTATACACACATCATCTACCAGATGTATTCCTATTCACTTTCTTTGGATGCCATCTTAAACATTCCTCAAGAAACACATTTTCTAGAACCATAGTAGTCCTCTTCTAAAAAAAAAAAAAGCTAAACATCCTTTGGGAACAATTTATATTGGTTACATTGTTTCTCTGTGAATTCTCTTGATTACTGCCTTTAAAAAAATAAATGTTGTCACCGGACATGGTAACATATACCTGAAATCCTTGCTACCAGGGAGACTGAAGCCACTGGATTGCTTGAGCTAGGGATTTCAGTACTTCAGTAGATTAAGCCAATAGTATATCTGCATTATGTCAGTACCAATTAAGTAACTCCCTGAGAATAGAAGGCCCCCAGGCTGCCTAAGGAAGGGAGAACCTGCCTAAATAAGAAACAAAGCAGGTCAAAGCTCCTGTGCTGATTGGTGATAGGATCTGGCCCCTGAGTGGCTGCTGAACTTCCAGCCTGGGTGAGGTAGGGAGAAACAGTCTCAAAAAAAAAATAAAACAACAACAAAAATCGTCCCCAAATTTAGCAAGAATTAGGGAAGCATTAGATAATATTATTACTACCTACCCAGTCATCTAATAATCTTCTTGTGAAATTTATGTAATAACAGTAATCTCCTCTTGAAAATAACATGATACAAGGCAGAGTCAAGATGGCAGAGTAGAGGAAGCACTACAGCCAAGCTCTCCCAACACTCCTCTCAAAACAACTGTAAAATAACACCTTAAATCAAAGTCCAGATTGGGAGAACCAACAAAAGGTCAGGGTGAGACATTTTTCCAGTCTAAGACAACTTAGGAGGTTGTCAGGAGGGATCTGTGACACCTGAGGACAGGCTGGCTCAGAGTGATGACCACACCAGCTGTGGGTCTTGGATGCAGTGACAACAGCAGCAGCAGCTTCAGGAGCTCTCAAACCAAAGACAGTAAGGACATCGGACAATGGGTAAGAAAGAGATTACAGGGGACCCTGAGCTGACTCTGGGCACAGGACTGAGTCTATTTGGCAACTTCATTGCCCATATGCAGTTCTGGGTCACAGTTCCAGGGAGGAGAGAAGAGCTTTTTGTCACAAAGAATCAAGGGCCCTTCCTGGGAAAGGACCAGAGTGCAGACCAGAAGAGCAGTGACCATGCCTCTCCCCAGATCATCTCATCTCGGAAGCACCGAAGAGAACTTCTAAAACCCCCAGAATTAGCTCTAAAACCAGAAGCTTGAAAAAGCCTGAAACTTGGGAAAGTGCCTGCTCCCCCACTGCATAAAGCACAAAGTCAGGAAATAAGCTGGAAATGGGGGCAGCTAGGTGGCACAGTGGATAGAGCACCAGCCCTTGATTCAGGAGGACCCGAGTTCAAATCCAGCCTCAGACACATAACACTTAACTAGCTGTGTAACCCTGGGCAAGTCACTTAACCCCCACTGCCCAACTGAAAAAACAAACACAAAAAACAAAAAACCAAAAAAAAAAAAGGAAATAGGCTGGGAAAAAAAAAACCAGGAAGCAATAACAACAACAAAAAAGAAATTGACCATAAAAAACTACTATGGCGACTCAGAAGAAGACAATGATGTCAAAACATCTACAAGTAAAGCCTCAAAGGGAAAAAAAAAATGTGAATTAGACACAAGCTGAACAAGAATTCATGGATGAGCTAAAAAATGACTTTGAAAATAAAATGACAGTGATAGAGGAAAAATTGGGAAAAGAAATGAGAGCAACACAAGAAAATGATAAAAAGACAATTAACAGCTTGTTAAAAGAGGCATAAAAAATACTAAAAATAACACCTAAAAAATTGGCCAAATTGTAAAAGAAGTACAATACTCCACTGAAAAAAGAACTCCTTAAAAAGCAGAATTGGCCAAATGGAAAGAAGAAAATAATTCCTCAAAATCAAAACTGGGCAAGTGGAAGTTAGTGACTCCATGAGACATCAAGACTCAATAAAACAAAGACACAAGAATGGGAAAAAAAAATAGAAAAAAATGTGAAACATCTCATCAGAAAAGCAAACGACCTGGCAAACAGAATTACTGGACTACCTGAATGCCATGATCAAAGAAAGAGTCTAGATGTAATATTTCAAGAAATTATATATCCTAGAACCAGAGAGTAAAATAGAAAATGAAAGAATCCACCCGTTATCTCCTGAATGAGATCCCAAAACAAAAACTTGTAGGAATTCCTGAGCTCCCAGGTCTAAGAGAAAATACTTCACAGCAGCCAGAAATTCAAATACCACAACACACCACCATTCAGAGTCACAGAGCCACAGTCAGGTTCACAAAAAATTTAGCAGCTACCACATTAAATGAGTGGAGGGCTTGGAATATGACCCAAAGACAAAGGAGCTAAGACTACAATCAAGAATAACCTATCCAGCAAAGCTGAATATTATCCTTCAGAGGGAACATGGATATTTAATGAAACAGAAGGCCATCAACCATTCCTGATGAAAAGACTAGAGATGAATAAAAATGTGGTCTTCAAATACAAGATTCAAGCATAAAAAGGTAAACATTAAAGAGAAATTATAAAGTGACTCAATAAGGTCCAACCGTTTACATTCCTATATCGGAAGATAATCATGTAACACCTAAGAACTTTATCATCATTAGGGCAGTCAGAAGGCCTCTACATAGACAGAAGTCACAGAAGTGAGTTGATTACAATGAGATAATCTTTAAAAAAAAAAAAAAAGAGTAGATGGGCAAAAAAGAAGGTTACATTGGGAGATGAGGAAAGGGAGAAGTGGTGGAAATTATCTCACAAAACAAAAACATGCAAGGAAAATGGGTGGTTAAGGAGACAATGCTTGAACCTCACTGTCATCTGAATTGGTTCAAAGATGGAATATATATACACACACACTCAGTTGAGTATAGAAATCTATCTTAACCAACAGAGAAGTAGGAGGGGAAGGGAATAAGAAAAAGGGGGAGGAGGAGGGATAAAAGAGATTAAAGGAGGCAGTGGTTAGAAGCAAAATAGACTTTTGAGGAGGGAAAAAGACAAAAACAGAGAGACAGAAATAAACAAAAGAAAATAGGATGGAGGAAATGTCACAGTTAGTAATAATAACTGTAAATGTAAATGCGATGAAGTCCCCCATAAAACAGAAGCAAAAGAAGAATGGATTAGAAACCAAAATCCAAAAAATATGTTGTTTACAAGAAACACACCTGAAACAGAAAGACACACAGAGACTTAAAATTAGGGGCTGGAGCAGAATCTATTATGCTTCAGCTGAAGTAAAAAAGGCAGGAATAGCGATCGTGATCTCAGACAAAACAAAAGTAAAAATAGATCTAATTGAAAAAGTTAAGCAGGGAAACGACATCTTGCTAAAACGTACCACAGACAATGATACATTAACCAAATGGCAGAGCTTCAGCATACGTGTTGATAGCATAGCATAGGTATCAATATTTGTGCATCAAATGGCATCATAACATCCAAATTCTTAACAGAAAAGTTAAATGAGATACAGGACGAAATAAGAGACTAAAACTATAGTAGTGGAAGACCTCATTTTCCCCTCTAAAAGCTCAAGAAATGTAAATCACAAAAGAAATTTTAAAAGAAGTTAAGGAGACGAACAGAATTTTAGAAAACTTACATATAATAAAACTCTGGAGAAAACTAAATGAGAATAGAAAGGTATAAACCTTTGTCTTAGCTTTTCATGTACCTTCACAAAAAATAACCACATCTTGGGATATAAAAACTTCACAAACAAAAGCAGAACAGCAGAAATATTAAATGTGCCCTTTTCAAAGCATAATGTGATAATAAATTCACTGGAAACTAAATAATCTAATCCTAGAGAATGAGTGGGTCAAAGAACAAATCACAGGAACAATCAATAATTGCATTAAAAAGAATGACAACGAGACAGCATACCAAAATTTGTAGGATTCAGCCAAAACAGTACTTAGGGGAAAATTTCTATCTCTTAACTTGTATCAGTAAAATAGAGAAAGAGCAGATCAATAAATGGGGCACACAAATAAAAAAAACTAAAAAAAGAACAAATTAAAAATCCTCAAACACTAAAATGGAAAGTCTAAAAATCAAAGAAGAGATTAATAAAATTGAAAAAAAAAGCCATTGAAGTAATAAATAAAACTATGAGCTGGTTTCATGTAAAAAAACTGATAAATCATTGATTAATTTCATTTTTAAAAAGAAAACTACCAAATTATGAGTATCAAAAACGAAAGGGTGAATAGACCACCAATGAAGATGAGATTAAAGCAATTATTGGGAGCTATTTTGCCCAATTACATGGCAAGAAATTTAACAATCTAAGTGAAATAGATGAATATTTACAATAATATAAATTGCCCAGCTAAGTAGAAGAGGAAATACAATACTTAAATAACCCTATTTTAAGGAATTGAACAAGCCATAAATGAGCTCCCTGAGAAAAAAAACCTTGGACCAGATGGATTCACAAGAGAATTCTACCAAACATTTAAGGAACAAGCAATCCCAATATTATATAAACTTTGTGGAAAAAATAGGCAAAGAAGGAGTCCTACCAAATTCCTTTTATGGGGGCAGCTGGGTGGCACAGTGGATAGAACACTGGCCCTGAAGTCAGGAGGACCTGAGTTCAAATCCGGCCTCAGACCAAACACTTGACACGTACTAGCTGTGTGACCTTGGGCAAGTCACTTAACCCTGATTGCCTCACAAAAAAAACAAAAAAACAAAAAACAAAAACAAATTCCTTTTATGACACAACTATAATTTTGATACGTAAACCAGAGAGAGCAAAAACACAGGCCAATTTCCCTAATGAATATTGATGCAAAAATTTTAAATAAAATACTAGCAAGGAGATTACAGCAAAATATACAAATTATATCATTATTATTATTATAATATATGTATAATATGTATATATATGTTATTATACAAATTATCTCATTGTTGTCATTCTTTTTAATACAACTATTGATTGTTCCTGTGGTTTGTTCTTTGACCCACTCATTCTCTAGGATTAGATTACATCATGGCGAGGTGGGATTACACCAGGAATGCAGGGTTGGTTAAAAATTAGGAAAACTACAACTGAACACACCAATAACAAAAACAATCAGGATCATTTGATTATATCAATAGATATAGAAAAAGTTTTTGACAATAAACAACATTTATTCCAATTAAAAACGCTAGAAAGCATAGGAATGAATGGAGTGTTTCTTAAAATGACAAATAGTACTATTTATCTAAAACCAAGAGCAAGTATTATCTGAAATGGGAATAATAAGCTAAAAGTCCTCCCAATAAGATCACAGATAAAGCAAGGATGTTCATTATTACCATTATTATTCAATATTATATTAGAAATGCTAGCTCTTGCACCAACAAGAAAAAGAAACTAAAGAAAGAAAAATTGGCAATGAGGAAGCAAACTATCCATCTTCACAGAAGGTATGATAGTTTACTTAGAGAACCCTAGATAATCAACTAAAAAAACAGCTGAAATAATTAACAACTTTAGCAAAGTTGCAGGATATAAAATATACACACATAAATCATCAGCATCTCTATATAATACCAGCAAAGTCCAACAGCAAGAAATAGAGAAAAATACATTAAAAATAGCTGCAGACATTATAAAATACTTGGGAGCTTACTTGCCAAGACAAACTCAGGGACTATAACAACACATTTACAAAACACTTTTAACACAAATAAAGACAGATCTAAAACAACTGAAAAAAATGTTCATTACTCATAGCTAGACGGAGTCAATATAATAAAAATAAATAATTGTGCCTAAACTAATTTACTTATTCAGTGCCATGCCAATCAAACTACCAAAGAATCATTTTATTTTATTTTATTTTTTTAATGCTGTAGTTCTTTATTTTTTTTAAAGGCAATTGGGGTTAAGTGACTTGCCCAGGGTCACACAGCTAGTAAATGTCAAGTGTTTGGTCTGAAGCTTGATTTGAACTTAGGTCCTCCCGACTTCAGGGTCGGTGCTCTGTCCACTGTGCCACCTAGTTGGCCCCAAAGAATCATTTTAGAAAGTTAGAAAAAAAATAATAATAATAAAATTCCTCTGGAAGAACAAAAGGTCAAAAATATCAAGGGAATACAATGGAAGAAAATGAAGGAAGGTGGCCTAGCAGTACCAAATTTCAAACTATATTACAAAACAGTAATCATCAAACCAATTTGGTACTGGCAAAGAAATAAATTGGTGGATCAGTGAAACAGATTAGGTATACAATACACAGGAGTAAATGACCATAGTAACCTAGTATTTGATAAACCCAAAGATTTTGGGTTTTGAACTTTGGGTTAAGAACTCACCATTTGACAAGAATTGCTAGGAAAACTAGAAAACAGTTTGGCAGAAACTTGGCATAGGCCAACATCTCATACCATATACCAAAATAAGGTCAAAATGGGTAAATGATTTCAAAATAAAGGGTGCCATCCTAAGTAAATAAAGTGAGTAGGGGAAAAAAAATTATCTATCAGATCTATGAATAAGGGAAGAGTTTATGACCAAAAAAAGAAAGAGAGTATCACAGGAAGTAAAATGATTTTTATGTTGATTACATTAAATTAAAAAGGTTTTGCACAAACAAAACCAATGCAACTAAGATTAGGAGGAAAGCAGGAAAATGAAGGAAAGAAAATTGGCACCAAATTTCTCTGATTAAGTCCTCTTCTCAAATATATAGAGAACTGAGTCAAATTTATAAGAATATGACTCATTCCCTAACTGATAAATGGTCAAGGATATGAACAACCAGTTTTCAGAAAAAGAAATCAAACTATCTATAGTCACATGAAAAAAATGCTCTAAATCACTACTGATTAAAGAAAGGCAAATTAAAACAATTCTGAGGTACCATTTCACACATCAGATTGGCTAACGTGACAGAAAACGAAAATGATAAATGCTGGCAGGGATGTGGAAAATTGGAACACTACTGTACTGTTGGGAGAGTTGTGAAATGGTCTAACCATTCTGGAGAGCAATTTTGAACTATATTCAAAAAGCTATAAAACTATGCCATAAAACTTTGACACAGCAATACTACTACTAAATCCATATTCCAAAAAGATCAAAGAAAAGAGAAAAGGACCTATATGTACATAATTATTTATAGAACCTATTTTTGTGGTGGCAAAGTACTGGAAATTGAAAGGATGTACATAAATTGGGGAATGGCTGAACAAGTTGTGGCATATGATTGTAATGGAAAACTATTGTTTTATAAGAAATGACAAACTGGATGGTCTCAGAAAAATCTGAGAAGACTTATATGAAATGACTCAAAGTGAAGTAAGCAGAAACAGAACATTTTACATAGTAATGGTAATACTGTTAACAATGATCAACTGTGAAAGACAGCTACTCTGATCAAAACAATGACCTAAGACAAATCCAAAGGATCTATGATGAAAAATTCAATCAATCTCCAAAAAGAGAAGTGATGAAGTGAGTGCAAACTTGTAGTGTATTTTTTCACTCTCTTTATTTTTCTTGTTTTTTCTTATAACATGGCTAATATGGAAATGTTTTGCATGTCTTTACACGTACAATTACTTTACATGTACATGTACAATTGAAATAATACTGCTTCTCAATGGATGGGGGAAGGGTGAGAGAGAGAAAATTTGGAATTCACAATTTTAAAAAATGAATGTTAAAAAGAAATAACTTTTTTAAAAAAGAGGGAATTACAGAAAATAGCATCTAAATGAATCAAGCCACAATTATGGTTTGATTTTAAGTAAAGTCAAATTACAAAGTTTCAGGATACAAAGCTGCCCTTCTGATAAATACCTCCTTGTTAAGGACATGAAGGTCAAGTTAAACTCATAAGACATCTATAAGGAATAATGTTAGGGAATGTTGATAAGACCTCCTGCTCCACACAAATTTCCTCTTCTCAGGAAACAGATTATGAATTGCTCTGCTTCTGTTTCTCTGGGCCTAAATTTGTTCATCTTTAAAATCAGGGGACTGAACCATATTATCATAAAGGTATATATATATATTTGAGTTAGAAATCTTATGGTATCATGAATATAAATGCAACTGTTTAGGTCAATACACTGTCACTAACATGATGACATGCATTAATTTATCAAATCAATTTCCCCTGAATGAATACAAAGGGGACCTTGAAAAAGAGATAGCAGAAAAATGTAATCTACTTCCCAATTTTGTGTAAGGTTAGCCCTGAAAGTCAACAACTGCAGATTTTCCAATGTGTACTTATACAATGCATTCATAATTTTTAACTATATATAATAGAGACCAGACCTGTGAATTCACTGATACACGGAAATCCCAGGTGAGGAAACTCTCAATACATCAAAGCAGGTCTCCACCTTCTCTGCAACTTACAGTCTTAGAGAGTTGCCTAAAGCATCCAGTGTCAAACTCAAATAGAAATGGATCCCTGCCAAACCACAAATTGACTTAGAAAACCACAAATAAACATTATATATGTTTTGTTATATATTTCCCAATTACATTTTAATTTAGTTGGCCTGAGTTTTGACACTGAAAGAGTAAGCACTGAAAGATTAAGTGACTTGTCCAAGATCACTTAGGATGTATCAGAAGCAGGAAAGTCTTCCTGGCTCCAAGTCCAACTCTATCCACTATATCACACTGCTTCAAGTAGACAATGAAATAACGAAGAACAAAAATTAATACAGTCCTTTAGGGCCAATTTGATCTTTCCACTCATAGTTATAAAGCAGTCAAATAGTCCACTATAATCATTACCTGATGTGCATTCAGCTGTTTTAGTACAGGTAATAAAGATTCATCTGTCTTTGTTCTGTTCCAGCCAAAATAACGCTGACAAAACATGCAGGTTGGTTAAGGCTTTAAATTTCTTTAAAAAAAATTTTTTTTTTACAACAAAGTGATCAAGAGGAGTCCCTACAATATCAAATCACAATTATATTTTAAAATAAAAAAAATTACAATTATATTTTAAAGTGCATAGTTAATAAAAACTACAATAATAAAGTCAAGAAATAAGTATGATACCAAACAGAAGTATTTGGTATCATTTCCTACTTAACATCCTTTGAATAAAACTATTTGAAGATACAGATTTTCCATTAAAGAAAAGCAAAACAAAACGAATTTCTGTAAGGAATGAAGGACTCGTATCAATCTTTCTCTAGGGATTTACAATCAAGGGCTGGTGACAAGTTTCCTTTGTATTTGCAGTTGTCCCTTTAAGAAATGCTTCCTTTAACTCTGCCAAAGAAAGCTTTGCATATACAAACAATATACTAGGGAGAAAAATTGTTTGTTGGCATATTTTTGGTTTTTGCAACTCTGATTAATAAAATGAATAATGATCATATTCTTTTTACAACTGATAATAAAATGAATAATATAACTTCTCCTTATAACTGTTCACATCATATTTCACTGGGTCAATAGCCATTAGCCCATATGCAAGACAGACAATGACAATTCACTAAATATGGCATAAAATATCCATATTTAGTTATAAACATGTACAGTTATCCAAAAATATTTTTTCAAGTCTTTGAGCTCTAGGTGACTCACTCAACAACAGGTAAGGTTCTAGTTATGTAGGGTAACCTTTAAGTATGAAATGCACACTAGTCAGGCTCAAAATCAGAGGCCCCTAGGTTCAAATTCTAGCTCTGGTATTTACTACCTGGGTGTCCTTGGGCAGGTCATTTTACTCTCTTTGCTTCAGTTTCTTCATGTATAAAAGAAGGAAGGGGTTGACCTGGATGACATTCTGAGGATACTTTCAGTTCTAAACCGATGATTCTATCAACAACCTCAATGCCTAGTAAGAATAAGAAATAAATAAGCCAGATGAGTCCAATACAGTCATCTGGTACATGTATGTCCCTAATAAATTTACCACTATTCCTTTTCCCAGGGAGGTACATTGATAATAACATGAACAAAACTTAACTTTCTTTCCTACTCTTTCACAATAAACTGTACTCAGCCTGAATAAGCATAATCATATCTACAACTGCAATATCACTTCCTATTTTTAATAAAGGTACCTATTTTGTAGTAAGATTAGAATTTTAAGTAAAAATTCAAAGAAAAACCTGATTTAAGTTCACTTCTTATGGATTTGAAATTATCTAAAGTCCCAAAATAAAATGAAATAAAAATTTGATTCATTGTTACTCTATTTATATGCTAAGCAGCAAAAGGATATTCTCTAATTTTTTCAAGATCTGGTTTTCCCCATAAGAATGCTCCTTTTGAGTCATCCACCACAGGTTTCAGGTAAGCTTCTGCAACAGCTGGGTTAGGGAAACCAGGAGAAAGTTGCAATTGTCGCAATTTCTTTTTCACCTTGGTGTCACGGGGATTGGGTCCTATTTTCTTAGTCTTTTGAGCTTCATTCCACCATTCTCTGAAGAATAAAGGAAACACTATCCATTAAACACTCAATAAATCATAGCATATTTATTTTTATTAGCATTTTTAAAAATTTTTTCTTCAGTCCCAAATTCTCTCTCTCATTCCAGCCTTCCACCACCCTCTGAGAAGGAAAGAAATACAATACCCATTTCATACACATATTTCCACATTTGTAATATATTTATTCTCCCCCATAATACTATGAGGAAAAAAAATCAAGAACAATGCATTTGTATACAAGTCTCATATTGCCATCTCAAATTTTATTTATCCTCTCTTTGGGTGGTGCTTAAAAAGAATCTACATTTCACTCTCTGCAGCAAGATGAGGACCTAAAACATAAGAGGCAACATTTGTCTAATCCTTCTTTCCCTATAACAGAAGTGCTTACCTCTCAAAACCAACACAAGATAAGCACTAGGCAGGAATTAAGATGTTTACTGACTCAAAGGAAAGCACAAAATCATCTTTCAATCACTTTGCAAATTATCTCTCTCTGCCAATCTCTGCCTTCCTTAGAAACATGATAGTACATGTGACCTGATAACTTCATACACAAGTTTCCACTAATGTGCTCCGTGCTTACGGGATTTTCAATCAGAAATAAGAAAATACGTATTTAAATTCACTAATGAAATTTAACCCATACCCACTTATAAAATTTAACCATTAACAAAATGTATCCCCTATACTAGAGTAGGAATAATGAGGAGAAGCTGCATGGTACAGTAAAAAGAAGCCTGGCTTTAGGGTTTAAGGGCCTGGGCTTGAAGCCTGGCACAGCCACTTACTGCCTCTGTGGCCTTATGCAAATCATCTTACCCTTCAGGTCTTATTTTCTCATCAGTAAAATGATGGGAATGGCCTAAATGATTTCTAAAGTTCTGTCCAGCTCTAGAGTATGTGTTCCTATTTTTTTTTCAATCTGGTAATTTATAAAGCTAAAGACTAAGTAAAGGTCACAGTGAGCAATTACTATTTTCCTTTACAAAAGGAAAACAGGAAATCAGACTCTCTTAAAGATAAGGTTATGATTCTAAAATGTATCCATTAGGTGAAACTGAAACTAAAGCTACAGATAAAAAATTAATGTAGGTGTTAGATTTTAAAGCAGTAACAAAAAAACTCAAAATTCTTGCTATACACAACCTGTTAGTAGTAAAAGTTCCTCAAGTAATTAGATCAGAAAATTTGAAAAGTGATGTGGTAAGATTCCAGCCCCTCTCTTTCTAGTATATCTGGGCTTTAAACAGATGTTTCACCAGGAAGATGAGGGGGACTTTGAGGGTAAACCAATTAACTTCCTATTTAAGCAGAAAGGAAAATGGTTTGTAGTCAATAACCATTCTGTCAAGAACACATTACATGACAATTAGTCAACACCTAGGTGATTTATCTGGCAGATTAACAATTTCAGAAGAAAAATGGAAAATTAGAATCATGAATAGGACATAAAAATTTGAACATATCAGATGGAAAACATCTTTAAAGTTCTCCTAAGAACTTCTTAAAAGATACTTACTTATTAAGTAAAATGGGACACTCATGGAATAACATAATAAGACATACTCATGAGACACTAAATCATATTAATCTATTACACAGCCTATCTATAATGTTAAAATGTTAGAATTCTCAAAAAGCAAAAATACCAAATAATAATAAACAACAACAATAATAATAATAATAATGGTTGACATTTATATTGCCTTTTCAGGCTTATAAAGTGCTTTCCTCAAAAAAAAAAAAACAGAGAAAAGACACATAATTATCCCTATTTTATAGAATAAGAAGTTCTGAGAAATTGTGATCCACCTATAATAGCTACACCTACATCAGAAGTCAATTTTTAGCCTTTTGACTCTAAATCCAATGATCTTTACATTAGACCACACTGAAGAAAAATGTTTCAGAGTGGTAATGGAAATATGCCATGGATATTCAGTGGTGACACACTAAAAACAAAAGCTATGTGGGACACAGAACCCTAGAATTTTAGGTCTAGATGAGATATTAGAGATTATCTAAGCCAACAGTCTTATTTTATTTAAGTAAATGGAGAAACCTGAGGTCTATTGGTCAAAAATTCCAGGTTCAATTTCTACTTCTAATAATCCAAAAGGCTTCATGTTTTAAAGGTTGATTCAGTATAAGGGGAGAGTAGATATAAAATAGTCATGGATCTTTAAAATTAGCTAGACACATGTGGCTACCTAGTACAAATCTTAAGAGTCAACACATCCTTGATTCTGTGTGCCACAGAAAGCCTGATACTACTCTAAAAACTAAATGCCTATCAGTCTAGGTGATGCTAAATTACACCACTGGACATACTGGCTCCCCCCAATAACATGCAGCAAATGGAAGGAAAGACATGGAGAGAGAAATTCTCTAAGGCATTACACACCAGAGGCTAATTTGTGCATTTTTATATTCCTCAGGATAAAAAAATGTTCATCCACCCATATCTAGCCTCCTTTCCTCCCTCCCTCGAACACATACACATACACATACACACACACACACACAAGCAGAATGACATAAACAATGCCTCTTTGGAACTTAAATCCAAACAAGGCCAACTCCTCTTTACATTACGCAATATTCGTTAACACTGCATTTTCAATGATCCCTCGCTCTCTTTTAGTTAAAAATCATCAATAAAAAGGCCTGTATATGCCTTTTATTTAAAAAAGTAAAGCACAATATATAAGGACTCACGAAAATTTTAAGAGAGGCTCCAAGCCACGTCCAGGAAATTCATTGAGAATTTCCATGGCCGTCACACAGCCAACAGTTGGTATCCCTTCTGTGTAATCACTTCCAAGCAAATAGGCCAAATTAATCAGTTTGCTCCGGTCTAATCCTATAGGGTAAGAGACATCAATCAATTAACATTTATTAATCACCCACCATGTGTAGGACACTATGTGTAAGCAGTCATATTTCTTCAATCTATCAATATCAATTTATTTACCATTTTAAAAGCAAAATTATTGACCAAATAAGCATTTTTAGATTATTTAAGAAAAGGCTAACTATAAATTCCTGGTATACCAGCTCCAGAGGTAAAGCGTTCAGAGGTCTAACAGAATTAACATAATTAACCTGTTCCCCTAATTCTACTATCTCTGGCTTCTGCCTAGGTCTAACTGTGAGTCATCTAAACATGACCCCCACACTTCCTACTATCTAACCAACCAATTATTTAAACTGAAATAATAACCTGAATATTCTCATTTTCCAATTTTTTCTTAAATCTAGTTCCAAACACTATGATCATAGGTGTATGAATATATGAAAGTTTATACATACAATGCCACCATTAACCCTAGGTCATCACATCAGTCCCCAGAAAGTAAATTACATTTAAAGACTGAAGACATTTTTTTAGAAAGCAATCCCATGTACAACTCTTATCTCTAGGTACTGAAATATAAGCTCTTACAAAGATAAATAAAACAACAGTCTCAGCTTTTGAACCTCCCCTTCGCAGTGCTTTGCAAAGAGTAGATATTTAATAAATGTTTATTAGCAAGAACAAACAAATACATAAACATAACCCTTCAAAGTCTTACCTAGTTGGTTGTGAAAGTCTACATACTGGTAATATTCTACAAACTTGTCTTTACTAAAGAAGTTTTTATACACATGCCGTGCTCCAAAAAGCCAGATATCACTATCATCAGTGATTGTTCCAGATGTCTGATCAGTCAAGTCCAAAATGGCGCACTGAGCTTCTGCCTCCATAGGAGCCTCAATGTAAGGAATGCCAAATAATCGTAAAAGTTCCTATTGAGATTAAGAATGCAGTAGAGACTTATTAAAAAGCCTACCACCCTGGTAGGCTCAGAGTGAAATCCATATTTTAAGGGTTTATTTAATGCAATTTCCCAAACTGTGTTCCCTGAGAAACTCTGGAAATCTACAACAGTTACCTCTAAACTTTTTTGATTGTGTGCCTTGATCAGTAAAAAAAAAAATTGAGCATGCACCGTAACATTTACTTACTTACAAATGATATACATGTACTAATAACTAACTAATAACCATGTTATAAAACCCAGTCAATTTTGTCTGCATAGCTGCTTCAGGTATTTGGACTGGGGTAGGTAATAATCTCCCTTAGGGATCCAAGCCTAAAGCAGCCACATAGAAGGCCCCTGACAATGCGGATGCCCCACTCTTCAACTGATTGATCACATACCCCTTGGGATGAAGTTGTGATTCCCTTGGGTTCATTCCATTTAGAAACTACTAATCTATACGTCAATAAGGATTATGCAAGAAATTTTTACTATTAGCAATAACTTTTTATGTTTTTCAAAGGGAAATGTGAATATTTCAAAAATACATTTTATAAGAGAAATTTTCAAAACAAATATCCACTTAATTTCTTCTATTTTAATACACTTTTGGGGGGATTTTTATCCAGAAGATACATAATAGGGCTAAAAAACCTTTACTCGCTACAATGTTTTCCACTGTGATTTAGGGTAATTTCATTCCCCAGAGGTTCCTGGACCTACATTTCTGGGTTGCTCCAATATACTTAAGCTTTAAGGTATCCTATAGCCAAATTTACTTGGTGCAATGCTGAAACCCATATCATTTCTCATCAGCCCACACCACCAGAACATGCCTGATCCCACTATAAACCAGAACACCAAGGCTTTGTCAGCATGGACATCGAACTATCTGCCTTGCCACTGTGTCAGAACCCTGTCCAAGGTTGTCTCAGCTTTTCAACTCCTGCTGAGGAAACAATCAAATCAATACTGCCACTGCTACTGAAAAGAGCATGACAACCCACTGCATTATGGCTCCACTCACCATGCCTGTAACTATGTAGATCAAAGATCCTTTCTTTAGCCACCCAAAGTAGAATCTAAGCTCTTTGAGTCCAGGCACTATCTCATTTTGAAATTTTTATCCCCAGCACCTAGCACAGTGAATGGCATGTAGCACATGCTAAATAAATGCTTATTGATTGAAGTAAAAATATCAGAAGTTAAGGGAAGCTTACAACAGAATAAACCTACCTGACTTTCCAAGAACATCTGGCCCGTTACAGTTGCAGCAATCCGTTCCTGTTGCTGTTTTTGAGCTCTCAGTGAATTCTGTTCAACTAAAAGATTGTTCTCCAGAGCTTCCAGTTCCTCCTGCACATGAATTGTATTTTAAGTAACTTAAATCTAATTCAATGTAACTAGGTAGTACAGTGCATAGAGTGCTAGACCTGGAGTAAGGAAGGCAGAGTTCAAATCTAGCCTCAGACACTTAACAGATGACCTGAGGCCAGGCACTTAACTTCTTTCTGCCTCAGTTATATCTGCAAAATAGAGATAATAATAGCACTTACCTCCTAAGGTTGTTCTGAGGATAAAGTAATATTTATAAAGTGTTTTCCAAACCTTAGAGCACTATATAAATTAAAATAAAGTGCTTAGTATTGTGCCCAGCACATAATAAGTACTATATAAATGTTATCTATTATTTAACTGAAATTGTGAGAAATGATTCATCTGGACCTGTACTCTATTCCAATCAGTATTAATCAATTTGATGTGATTCTACAGGGGCAGTGATTATAAGTTCTGTTATAAGCCCCAGAGCTGTGAGCTGCAGACTGTAAGTTCACTTGCTTAATTATCGGAAGCTAACTGGAGGCCCTCCACCTTTGTCATGGTGAACAAGCCCCGTGTGGTGGAGGTGGTTCAATTACAAGGAAAGTCCTCCAACTTATTTTTGTACCTCTAGACCTCTCTTTCTTGTCCAACATGAGCAAGTGACTATCTTATGACCACTTCATCAGTGGAGATGCCCCCTGCTTCACCTAACCTGTGACACCATCCCCTCACCCCGAGCGATATGTCATTTTTGGCCCTCGAGCAAAGTTTATCCACCAATGAGGTTATGCATTTCACCATGCCTTTTGTGCATATTTGGGTATCAAACTCTATAAAAACAAGGTCCTGGAAGAAGAAGGCATCTCAGATCATGAGGAAGATCTGAGGTCCACTTCATTACAAGGCTCCATGGACCTTAAATAAACCATTGGCTCAGAGCTCTGCTTCAGTCTCTTTTATTGCAGGTTGGACAATTTTAATCCCCACAATTACTAAAATGTTTTCTCTCCTTATAAGAATTCTACTTGACTTTCACAGAAAAATCAGTATTTCTGGCATGTCTTCCTTAATAAAGTACAAGAAAAAGCGGGGTCTATCAGTGACAGTCATTATATAAAAAGGAGACAATCAGCAAAAAGAAATGAAGAAACATGCAAATATGTTGCTGTGTTGTTCCAATAAGTCCTTGAAAACCAAATAGTACTTACTTGAAAATTTCCCTTTAACAGTAAGGTAAAATACAATTCAAGTACTTACCAAATTAATATCTTGCCATTCATTGATCATGTCATCTGTTTCTTTTTCAATCTCTTCCTCTGGCTGCTCTGCTGACTCCACACTTTCCAGAGAGTCTCTTAGGAGGTTTTCAGTGGCCCCAATAGCTCCTTTTCTCTCAGTGTCTGTAGTCTCCTCTTCAGTAACGGACTCTTCCCCATGCTCAGTGAGAGGTTTGAATACTTCGTGTAAGTCAGCCTGAAGTTCATCACTACTACTTTCATCGCCTACTTCAATGAAACCACCTGTTCCAAGATGAGGGTCATTTTTCTCAGCATTAATATTTGACAACTGAAATAATTCTAAAAACTACTTGCAAAAGCTTTCCCAAAAAGATTGTTTCTTAAGAAACTGATATATTCTGATTCATATAGCTGTTAATAATTTACAGATCTTTTGAGAGTTGTCTGTTCATATCTTTTAATCAATTATTCATTTGAAAATGGTTCTTGCTCCTCCCTACATGTCTTAAATGAGACCCTTATCAGAAATATCTGATGTAAGCCTTCTTCCTTTACCACTTGTATTAATTTCGTTCACATAAAAGCTTTTCAATTTCATGGAGCTGAAATTACTTATTTTATCATTTCTGATCACTTCTAGCCCTTGTGGGGTTAAGAACTCGTCCCTTTGGCACTACTTTAAAAGTTCTCATCTATCTGTTTTTTAACATAGTGACCACAAAAATTCAAATCACATATCCATTGTCAAAAGCAAGAATTGCATTTCAATGGTAAAAGTTTAATGGGAAAGCATTAAATTTGACAAATGAATGCTACTTTTTCTCATACTAATATGAATGACTATATCAATTTGTCTTTTTTCAAATTGAGATCAAATATTTTAGGCAACCATTTAAAAATTAATTCATTTAATTCTCTCAAATAATAATTTTACTATTATTTGGACAGAAAATTTTTAAGTTAACCAGTATTCATTTTTTTTCATTCCACTCACAGAAATAAAACTCAGCTCCAAGTCAGCTTTCCAAAGTTCTATTATGCCTCTCCACACATCCCAAGTTCCCAAAATTGGCTTACTAGCTATTCTCCAAACTTAGTATTCCATGTCCCATTGTCCCTAGGCTCCCCCTAGGCCTGGAACATACATCCTCCATGCCTCTACTTCTTGAAATAAATTCCTTCAAAGCTCAACTCAGGCACCATCCCTACAGTAAGCTTTTTCTGATCCCCTAAGTGCTTAGCACAGCAGCTGGCACATAGTAGATACTTAATAAATGCATGTTGCCTACCTGCTGCCTGTTCTTTCTCTCAAATTACTTATTTCTATACACATATCCCCAGAGTCTAGTACACTGTTAATAAGTTTGTTGAACTGAATTAACATTATCAAAGGATGTGGACTTAATTATAATTGGATGTTTATTTCAACATGCTTTCACACTCCTTACTAAGAACTTAAAGGTAAAAAAAAAAAAAAAGACAGTACCTACCATCAGATTCACTCTCTTCCGAGTCCATTTTTGTTAATGCCACAGTCTCTGGTGTTGCTGAAATTAAATCCTGAGCTAAAGATTCATTCTTTTCACTATCTTGTAGAGTTTTCTGTGAATTCTCATGCTCACTGTGCTTACAGCTTGCTACAGTTTTTGCCATAGAAAGATGACTACCTGCGATCAAAGGGGCATTTACTGATTCTAAGACATTCACTTCTTGGAAAGAGTTAGTTTCAATTTCAGAACGTTGATTTTTTTTATCCTGTATTTCCTTATCAGTTGAAACAACCAAAACAGAAGAATCACACTTATTTGGGGATATGAAAATATCCTTTTCTAATTCAGGAATCATGGGATTTTCTTTATCCTCAGATATAAAAACTATACTTGTCAATTGAGTTGTCACTTTGGGGTCTTTTCTATCCTCAACCCCAGATTTACCAATATCTATATTAACTGTGCTATCTGAATGAGTTGTAAGAACTAGTTCTTTTTCATCCTTAAAAACAGATTTAACACTTGGCCTAAAGACTGCATTTGCTGAATGACTTAGTGATGAGGGTTCTTCTATAACAACAGATTCATCCTTTCCCAAAAGGACAATATTTGATGAATGAGTTTCAGGTACAGATGTGTGTTCATTCTTAATGCTGCATTCATCTCCTTGTGCAAGTATCATATTTTCTGAATGAGACACTGTTGCCAATTGTATTCCTTTGTTTTCTCTAACTTTAAGGAACTCGTCTTCCTCTTTGGACCTATTTATAAGAATCTCTTTAACTTCTGACACTCCATTCTGAGAGTTTTTCCTATCATTTTTCACGTCATCATCATCATCATCATCAAGAACTCCTTGAATTGCTAATAGAGTTCTAGGTGATAAAGAGCCTTCATCGACTGTAGTAGAGGTATGTGTTTTCTTCATACTGAACTGCTTTTCATTTTCATTCTCCAGCTCTTCTTCTGAGCTACTTTCTGTCATGGCGGCCTGGATAGCTAATAGAGTCCTTGGAGAAGGAGGGGCTGCTGCATCAGTGTAAGTGTCTTTCTCTGTTTTCAGTTCCTCAAATGATGACAATGACTTTGCATCAAATGGATGCGGGCCACACATTTTACTAGAAGAAGGAAGAACTGATTTAGTATCCATTTCTTCAGCTTTCTTAGCTTGACTGCCTTAAAAAAAATAGTTAAAGATATTTTTAATCTGTACTGTCACAATATGACAACATAATTTAATATAATGAATAAAAACAAGAGATTATCAGACTTAATTTCAGTATCTAAGTTCATGAAAACAGCAATTAACATCTGAATTCCATATTCAATGACTTCAAAGGAGAGAGAAATAAGAAAAGTAGTAGCTGACTCTTAAGTATACTTTTTAATCTCAATTAGCTAGCCTGCTTAGTGCTCTTTCTGTATAATTTAAGTTTCACATGTTTGCTGAATTGAACCCATTAACAGTTTTACTAATTGTGTGGTGAAGCACATAAGAATTCATTAAGTTCATCAATCATACTATCCTGGACTGCAATTTACAGAATTCACAGATGAAAGACAGATTTTGTTGTTATAATTTCAGCTTGCCATCAAATTAAAGACTTATAACCGATACCTTTTATCAAGATGTAATGAGAAGTATCCTCAGAAATTACTTTCCTTGATTCCACAACCTTCATAAAACCCCCATCATTTTCATATTGTCTTTGGATCTCGCCTGAATGCTGTTGATTCATCTCTTTTTGTACATTTTCTATGTGTCGGTTCAAGTTGTTTTTTTTAAGCAAGCCCTTGAGTTGATACGCTGAAAAATCATTGGACTCCTTAAAGCAAAATAAATAACTTAAAAAGGGATAATAGGACTGTATTTCCCCCAAATCCAACAACTGATTTCTTTTCATAGGTGATATATTTCTATTGATGATATCATTTCACAAATTATTAAAAATTAAATCTAGGATAAAAACAAGGAAGTAGAATAAAGACAGCCTGTGCCACACTACCCAGGTGACTCTGGGCAAGTCCCAAACTCTCAGAGCCTTTGTTAACTCATCTGTGAAATGAAGGGATAGGACTAACTTACTTCAAATGATTCTACCACTAAATCTATGATCCTATGACTCCATGAAAGACTATAACATTTATTTTTAAAACATTAAAAATAGCAAGAATTGGACAAAAAAGAGAATACATGGATACATTTTATAATCAATGAGGCTTTTGAAAATTTATCTTTAGGCATAAAAATGGTTTTCCTTTAGAATCACAGAATTTCAGAGTTGGAAGGGAATTTTTTTTGGGGGGGGGCTAGGCAATGGGGTTAAGTGACTTGTCCAGGGTCACACAGCTAGTAAGTATTATGTGTCTGAGGCCAGATTTGAACTCAGGTCCTCCTGACTCCAGGGCTGGTGCTCTATCTAGCCACCCCATTTTTTTTTTTAAGGCAGTTGGGGTTAAGGGACTTGCCTAGGGTTACACAGCTAGTAAGTGTCAAGTGTTTGGTCTGAAGCTAGATTTGAATTCAGGTCCTCCTGACTCTAGGGCTGGTGCTCTATCCACTGCACCACCTAGCTGCTCCTGGAAGGGATCTTACGAACCATCTAGTCCAACTGTACCTGAGCAAGAAGAATCCATCCTATGGCATGCTCAGCAAGTGATCATCTACCTATTATTTAAAGACTTCTGGTGAGGGGTAATTTTTGGCAGCCCATTCAACTTCAGGAAAAATCTATGTGTTAGGAAGTTTTTCCTTACATTGATCTGTTCTTTAAAAGATTTTTCTTTATGAAAGAGTAGGTTCCATATGTAATGTTCCATAAATAATGCCAATTCATGTTTCTATGATTCTGAGTTGTAGTATTATAGATGGGAATTTTCAGATATAAGATATTTAGTTTCCTTTTAGGGTAATAGTAAAATTATTCAAAGAATGAATACATTGTGTATTTTACCTCAGGCATTGCTTCAAACAATGTTCTTCTTCGCTTAGTAAATTCCTTCATATCAGTCAGGATTTCATGCTTTATTTCTGGTGGTAGACAACTGAAGTCTTCTGACTCAACATCTATGGCATGAGGATTACGAAAGAACTCTTCCTATATGTATTAAAATATAATAATGTGAAATTAAGTATTTATAAAGTGGTATCCATCTACAAGGTGATTTCTTTAACATACAAAAGTAACTTAAAACTAAGTTAGCATGAAAACTTGTTTTGCTTTCAAAATAGAATTTTACTGAAGGGGAAAGGCCATACATACAGTATGACAGATATGTGTTTTTAATTTATGTAGAGAGATGCACATACTACATATGTGTGTATACATAAAATATACTGGGGGTAGAACTTGGCGGGAGTGATCCAGGCCAACAGCTTCATCAGTGTGGGGAATTCTCAGCACAGGAATTTTCTCTACCAACGGAGATCAGTCACTTATATATAAGTTACAGTCTTAAAGAGATGCCTGGGCCTCTAAGAAGTCATACATGGTCATACAATAAAGAGTCAGATTGAGAACTTTAGGTCTTTAGGTCATGCTGCCTCTCGTGTGTATGTGTGTAACCATGCATGTGCACACACGTGAATGGATATTTCCCTGGCACTATTAAACATAGCACTTTTGGTAAACATTCAATAAAAATAGCAAACTTTCACTAAGGGTCTACTATGTACAAAGAAAAATACTACATGTAGGGAGAGACATGAAGTTTATATTTATACTAACAGTACCCTAGAACCAGGAGAATAATTTATATAACAATATTATAAAGAAAAATAACTTTGAGAGACTTTAGAACTCTGCTCAATGCAATAACCAACCATAATTCCAGAGCACCAGTGAGGAAATATGCTATCTCCTGAGGAAAAAAGTGATGGACTCAGGATGCAGGATGAGATATACATTTTCACTGAATAATTTTTTTAAAATGTGTAGAAGACAAAATAAGGAACTCACAGAAGAAAACCTGGACAAGCATTACAGTACTGAAAGTTACATGTTGAATTTATCTTACTGTTAAATTTTAAATAAAAAGCATTTTAAAATTTATAATTTAAAGTTTACAATACGCCTTCCTAAATAGGACATGGTCCATGACCTCAAGGAGCTTATAATCTAGTAAGAAAGACAATAATTTAACGGTAGGTAAATAACACAAAATAGTCTATTTTGAACTTTCAAAAGGAATTAATATTTTTGCAGACAATTATTTTAAAGAAATGCAAATATGAAACAAATAATATTATATACATCTATTATGCCTCCTGGAAGTATTTATATTCATGATCATCAGCATTTTATTTTAATTTTGCCTTTACCTAACTCTCTCCAAGAAAGTAAAATCACTTTACCAAAAAAGATATTTCTTATTACAATGTTTCTATGAAAAAGGTAAATTTGTGAGGTACATTTTTTTCTGCATTCTGATGTAACATTAAAAATGTCCATGGCTTTATCTAAATTAATACTCAAGAGCATAAGATGCAATTCTAATAATTCTTATTTTATTTACTTTTTAAAATACTTCATTTTAACACCACATTCATTTCTGCACAATTTTGTAACTGTTCACATTCCAGCATGGAAAGCAAAAAAATAGTCTAGGAGAATTATATGAAAAGAAGTAAAAAATTCTTAAGATCAGAAAAAATAATAAAGGGTATCCCAATAGTTTCACCAATTCTAAAGAAGAGACAAGATGTAGTATTATGAGGATAATACTGACTCAGGGTAAAAGGCTAAGTTCAATTTTTAGTACAATCTTTGGAATTACATTATAAAGGAAGAAATAAAATCACAAAGTCAGGAAAAACTACCATTAATTGTGATATTCTTATATTTACTTGCACATAAAAGATAAACTTGGATCCCTACTATTATGTTGGCCCCCACAATCAAGAATTTTGGCTGGTGGAAGTATACGGAAGAAAATAGCATCTACCACAAATAACTAAAAAAAAAATTTCAAACTGAAATTCTTTAGCATTTTCCAAATACTGGTTTATATATTATTGATAGGGATATGGAATTGGATCACATTTGATTTCAGTGATAAAGCCTTCAAATAAACAAACTCCTTCTACCAATGAAAGTTGGCACTTTCTCTGCAACATACAATCTCAAAGAGCTGTTGAAAGTCCTGAAAGGTTAAGTTACTTGCCCAGGATTACAAAGTCAAGTGTGTGTCAGAGATAAAGAAATCAAGTCTTTCTGGTTCCAAGACTGACTTCTCTATCCACTAAGGCATATTATCATCAATGATAAATAATTCATCTTAGTCAAATAAGAACATCTCATCTAGTAGAATGTTTTTAATTAACACTTAAGCACTTCCTAGCTCTGAGAAACTAAAAATAATGTTTTTATTCTTTATCTTATTTTATAAGAAATATTTTAATGGAACTTTTTTCCCACCAATGGGAATAGTCCTTCCAACAGCGCAGATCTGTAACTCAGTCAAAGCTGCTCCTGCTGTACAACTTTTCCCCATGTCCTCCAATAAATCCTCCAAAAGGTGTCTCTCCAGTGTGCTGAGGACTTGTCTCTAGATCTCAACACTGCATGGATATCAATAGAACATATGGACTATAAATCTGGTCATACATCTCTTAATTTTTAAAAACTTTTTTATAAGAGACACAAAAATATTATTACATTCATTGCTTGTAATGCACTTTCCCTACTGGTCAAGAGGCCCAGGCTTCTCAAAAACTATGCCAGGGAAGCACAAGCTTTCATAAGTCCTACAAAGTTGGGAAAGGACTTAATAATGAACTGTGTGTTTATGGTCCAAGGAATACATTAGCTGGCTCCCAAAAGATGATTTTTTTTCAGCCACAGAAGCTAAAGAAAACCACCTAAAGAAAACAAGGTGGATATAATCTGCATGAAGTGAAAGGCATATCTACACTGATAAAATCAGAAATCCCTGAATTACTGACAAAAAAAGACAATTGTGCTACTAAAAAATGTTAATATCTCTGCTTAATAAATCTGAAAGATCTACTACAAATAATCCAGCCATTTCACATATTGTTCTAAACAGAACAGAGAAAGTATCAGTTTTCATTTTAAAAAGACATTTTTACAACAAACACATGCCATATACGTTGATTATTTTTCCATTCCAAGAAAAATAATATTTCTAGCTTTTGAAAGTTATTTTTGATTACCTGTAATGCTTGTTTCTGACTCATTCTTATTTGCCATTCCTTTTCATCTTCCTCTTCTGAGCTAAAATTTCAAACAAGGATCAAAGTTTTAGTACATATAAAAATATTTTCTATAAATGCACACTAAGCAACTATAAAATCCAGTTAAGTACCTTTGAGCAATTATATACATAATACTGTGCTACATGATGTGGACAATACAAACTATACATGATTCATGCCCTCAAAGACTTGATAATCTATTTGGAAGACATAGGACATGGAAAGTTAGAAATGTAAGAGCTAAGAAACAATGCAAAAAGCACACAGATGTCAAGACAGCATATTAAAGATAATATAAATGATAAATAATAAAGGGAGGATAGGAAGATTTCACGGAGTGAAGTGGGGCTCAATCTGGGCCTTGTAGAGTGGGTAAGATTTGAAAAGGGGAAGGGGAAAGAGCATTGCAGGAACACAGAAGCAAGGAACCAGGACCAGAATGCACAAAGTATATATGGAAGGGTTAGTGAGACCACAAGTCTGGCTGAAGTATTTTGTTCTTATTTACCAATGGTGGCACATAATTTTGGAAAAAAAGTGTGCAGTCTGTGATCAGACTGCAGATGTTCATAAATACTAAGGTAAAGAGTTTTAATTTTTTGGCAAATAGGGGGCCATTTAAGGTTTTTGAGCAGCTGAGTGACAACATGAAAATAGTGATTAAGGAAAATAATCTAACAGCAGTGTGGATAGTTTCATAACAGGAAGAACCATTATTGAAAAACTCAAAATATGAGGTGATGTGAGTCCTGATTTAATATGGTGGCAATGGCAAAGGAAAGAAAGATGTGAACTCAAGAGACATTGTGAAAGAACTGATATGGTTTGATGCTTATGGGAGAAAGAAGGAAAAGAGAAAAGCAGTCAAAATGATTTATAGGTTTTCAGATAATTCTAATGTGATGACAGAAATAAAAACTTTAGCAGGGTCATGAGCTCTGAAATACTATAGAGCAATTAAAATCCTTACATGCAAAATATCATATGATACTTGTTTTCTCAACACAAGATAACATAAAATAGCAGGACTAGAGAGTTCCAGTTTTGGTTACAGAAGTTGCTATACTGTAAAATCAAGTCTTTTCACATACTGTACATTCATTACATGTTAATTATTTAGGTGGTTTAATCCTACTCCAAATAAGCACCATGACAAACACCCATAGTCTGAAAATTTCCTTAAATTTGGAAACTTTGTTGAAAAATTAAATAAATTAAATCACAATTCAATCCTGATGAGGCTCAGATTACAAAGCAGTAATCCATTTTGTGGGAAGACTTCTTAATTGTGAGCATGGTCTTTTGAATATCAGTCATAAAAATTAAACATCTTCCAATCAAAGCTTAAGAAAAAATTTTAAATCATATTGCAAGTTCTGAATATATACACTTTGATTACCAAGGCAAAAATACCAAAACCTTCCATTATTAGTTGTTTTTTGGTATTTTTGCCTTGGTAATCAAAGCATATATATTCAGAACTTGCAATATGATTTCAAAAAATTTAAACAAATATATATAAATATAAATTTTTAAATAGAAAAATAGAAAATTTGCTAAATAAGTCACTTTGTAATATAGTTCTAAAACAAGATGTTAATTCCCATCTGGTTTTGTCTACGTTAGAGATTAAAGTTTAAACTTATTATGATTGGGGGCAGCAAGGTGGCGCAGTGGATAGAGCACCAGCCCTGAAGTCAGGAGGACCTGAGTTCAAATCCAGCCTCAGACCAAATACTCGACACTTACTAGCTAAATGACCCTGGGCAAGTCACTTAACCCCAATTGCCTAAAAACAAAACAAAACAAAACAAAACAATAAACTTGTTATGATTGCAGTGTTATAGCTATTATTTTTTAAAGGAAAACAAGTTTACCTATTTTTCTCCTCCTCTTGTAATGAAGGCAAAACATATATGTCATCTTCTCTTTGAACTTGGGTAAGACTAGGAAGTACTTCATCTCTTAAAGAAAATATTAAACAGAGATATTAAAAAACCAGAACCTCAAATTCAAAAAGCCACCCTTCCAACCAAACAATAACTTTACTTTCACATCTCTTGATGACATAAAAAAGCAACATATTTCTTCCATGAGTGACCTAGTTTGCCTACTGATACTTATGAAACAGAAGAATACTTGCTCTTTGAAACTATATTCCAAGCTCTTTTCCTCTTCTGCTATTGTTTCGGGGAACCAGGAAGAGAAAAATTATACAGAGTTAAGGATTATAGCACTTCTGCATTCCCATCTTTTTGTTTCTTTTTACTTATCTTTGTATTTCCAGTACTTAGCACAGTGTTGGGCACATGGTGGGTGTTTAATAAGTGGCTGTTTCCTTCCTTCCTTCCTTCCTTCCATCTATCACCATGAAAGGTCCAATGTTGCTCAAAATAGGAAATTTTTCACATAACCAATAATGTAATTTTAAATGTTATGTTAAATATGCTCTAAATAATCTCATTTGATCCCTAAAAACAAACTTGTTTAAACAGCCACAATAATTATTTTTACCTCCATGTGGTATATGAGGAAATAGACTCACAGAGATCAAGTGACTTGCAGAAAGGGGACTCTAAACCCATGTTTCCTTACTTATCACACAATACTACTCCCATTATACTGTGGTGTGGTCTGCATGTAAGATTTCTGTCTGATACAAGTTGGGAGCTGAAGCAAGTTAAGTGGACAGCTCGCTAAACCAATGATGTTACCTAATTTCAAACGCATCAAACATCTTACCTTTTGCCTCTTAAAGCAGTTTTGATAGCTTGTCTTTTTAAGAATGTCTTCAAAAGTTTTTCTGTAGTTTTCTTGGAGTCAGAGGATGCCAAATCTTTTCTTTGTCTTCTCTTAGCCTACAAAGAGACAGAGTTTTATGGCAAAGAACAAATTGGATCTGAAATACCTTCAGAATCATTCTGTAAAATACAAGAGAAAAATCCATCTCATTAGTTTGTAAGCATTTGTTTTGGTTCTGATTATTTTGCTTTTTAATCACATCTCTCTGCTTTTCTCCACCACTGCCAATCATTTTCACTGAATTCAAACGTAGGAAGGAAAAGGGCAAGAAAGAAAGAGCTGGGACAGTTTCTGAAGCTGATAATTAGGAGGAAGAGCAAGTTTAGAAAAAGTTAGGCAGCAGGAGAAATAGAGATGGATCTGTGATCAGAAAAGGGAATTTACAGGTAATAATGGAGTCTAGAGATGTGGCCACCCTGGGTGGCTCTGGTAGAATGGAAATGGAGGTCATGGGAGTTAAGGAAGTTAGGGATTTAAAAAAAAAACAAACCGCACATACCAAAGTCTGTTTCTTCAACAGTGGTGCTTCTCCATCAAAAACAAAAATTGGACGAATTCTGAAAAATAACAGCTTGCAAAGTCGATGAAACAAAGTGAGAAGATGGGCATTTTCAATTGAGTTTCCATGTCTGTCTCTGACTCCTTTAAGTGCCTGATTCAACCAAATGCTAATATCTGTATGAATCATCAATGGAAAACACTTTTGGAATTTTGAAAGATACACTTAACACTCAATGGAAATCAACTACAATCTGAAGATTTATTTATAATTATTTTAAATACAAAATCATTTAACTCTATTTGACCTTTTTTTAATCATTTGTGAAACCAGAACCCAAAAGCCTAATTTTAATCAATTAATTTATATTCTTATAGAACAATGTTTTTAAATTTAATTTGTTTGTGTTCTGGTAAACACATATTAAAGCTAATTTATTACAAATGCAGCAAACACCTTGTCATTTTTGAAAAGGAACTGTGACATCACAAGGTAATGTCTTGACTTCAAGCACAAACTGGATTTAAATGAGGCAAAGAATCCTAGGTGGCTATATTCCTACAACCAGATCTACAAAAGAATCAAAGAGCTGAAACTTATATAGCACTCTAATGCATTAAAAAAAAGCACTTTCCTCACAACACTACTGTGAAGTAAGTGGTACAAATAGTATTTATAAAATAGTAAACTGACTCAGAGAAGTTGTCCCAATCACAAAGTTAATAAAAATGAAATCCACCTTTCCTAATGTCACAATATCTCAGCAGAGAGTTAAAAAAAAAAAAAAAAAACATTTAGGATCATGTACGTCACTTTAAAGTGAATGAAATCACAAAATCTGAAAGTGCCTCAGAATTCATCTTGTCCCACTTGTACTTCTACAAGAATTATCTCTTTAATTTCTCTATCAAATGGTTCATCCAGTTGGTACATGAAGACATTCGGTAAGAAAGAAGACATTACATCCTAGGGTCATTCCTGAATAGCTCCAACTGGAGTTATACTATAGATTAAATCTGCCTCTTTGCAACTTTCACCCAATCCTCCTAGCTCTGTAAACTGTCAATTTAATTTGGTAAAACTGGCTATTCCTTTCACAAAGGAAGTCCTAAGCAATCCAAAAATCAACAACTTGAGTATGGTAGTTGCTTTAGTTTTATTCTTAATCTGACAATTCGTTGTTCAGGGAATCGGAACACACTCTTTATGCTTTTTCTCCAGTTTTATGCACTGACCTGTCCTAGTGAAGTAAAATACAAGATGAACATTCCCGAATACTCAAGTTAATTTTTTAAATGAATGACAATAAAGAATAGTGCCTTCATTTGCCATTTTTAGCTTTTAAGGAACTTTCCCTCATGGAGGACTTAATCTACAACGCTAAACAAAAACCACCAAATATGGCAACACTCACGAATGAAACATTTTATCCCTTTCTATCTTAGCATAGCACCACTACTTTGCTTTTAAAGTAAATAAGCTAATAATATTATTTCTCCCTCTCTCAGATATTTCGGAAGGAAAGCAGTGGTTCAAGAAAAAGAAGGCCTGGGTTCAAATCCCACCTCTAACATTACGTTTGACATTAGGCAGTCACAACCTCGATGAGCCTCATTTTCTTCATCTCTAAAATGTGGGAGTTCAAGCAGTTAGCTCCTGATGTCTGTCCCTTGCAGCCATGAAGTAATGATCCTATGATTCATCAGAGATAAGTTGAGCAAATCTAGAATCATGTAATGTTGGTGCAGTGTAAAGAATTCTGAACCTAGATTTACAGGGATGAAATTTAAAACTAGCTTTCTGCTACCTGTGTAACCCAGGACAAGTCACTTAACTTCTCTGGGTCTCTCTTTCCAAACCTGTAAACTGAGGAAGGTTTGAACTCTATGACCTCTAGGGTCTCTCAGCTCTAGATCAATGATTCTCACAAATGGAAAGCAGCATGTCTGGTATTGGGATGAAAAGAATGCTTATAATCCTAACTAGTCACAGATACCATTCATCATTCAGTAAAATATCATTTGTCCAGGAGATAAGAATCTATTAGTATTTATTAAGCATCTACTATATGCCAGACACTATGCTATGCAGTAGAAATATAAAGAGTCAACTAAATCAGGATGCAGAAAACAGAATTGTAGGATTTTGCGGTTGGAAACGATCTTAAAGACCTAATCTAAACTTCTTTCGTTAAATGATGCAGTGGTAAAGCTAGCATTCCCCGCCTCACAAAAGCACAATGATAGTATTAAGGATACCAACAGCAAGAATTTTTCCTTCCAGCGTTTCTGGATTTATCTGTCTTCCCGAACATTCAAGCAGCTTCCAAAGTCCCTGGACTCCCATTGCGACTGGGTTTTCTCAAATCACCTGTAAGGAGCCCAACTTTCGGAAACAACCCGCAAGTCAAATGTTTCCTCGAGAATGACAGAGGAGCATGCGTTTCGGATGTTTGACAACCTAACTTCCATGCTCCCTTCTAGCAGGTCAAGACTCTGTTAGGCACTGGCTCCTGAAGCAGGAAGGAGAAAGGAAGAACGCAGCGGCCAACAGGCCCATGCCTAACCTCGAAGTTACCCCCGGCTTCTGCCACTTCACAAGAAAAGGGACAAAAACCCTCCGACCTAAGAAATGGAACAAGCCCTTCCCAGGCGCAAGTTGAACAAGTCCTTATTCGGCCCCTCACTCTTCGGTTAGGATTGGGAAGGACCAAGTGACCACCAGGTGTCCCCAGCCGCTCACCTTCCAGGTGGCCACCAACGACCCAATCAAAGCAGCCGGAACACGACTTCAGGCCAGAGCTTCCAGCTTCCGCAAGAAGTCACTCCCTTCTTCCTTCAGGAAGTCCCGCCTTATCGCTTCCACTAGTCCAATCATTACCTGTCGTCGCAGGTTACGTTACGTCACGCAGAAAGACGAGTAGACGCAGGGGACGCGCAGAAGCTTCCGGAAGAAGTTGCGGACGCACCTCGCATCTACCTATCGTGTGGTGCCGGATGTGGACTTTCCCCACTCCCGCCCTTCCGTCGCCCCTGAAGCGCTCAGCTCCTAAACTCCGTGTGGTCGCGGGCGGTAGAGCCGCCGAGATTGCAGTTAGCAATGGCTTTAACCAATATGGCTTCACATTCCCCGAGAGACCCATCCCCAGTCCCGGACCCCGCCCGCTGCTTGGCATCCTGATTCTTCTTCTCCACCGCTACCTTTCCTTTCTTCCACGTTATTCCAGTACGACCCCACCTTCCCCCCGGAACCTTTACATTTAACCTTCTTCGCGCACCCTCCCCTGGAGAGTGTTTTCATAGTAAAATTACCAGCCTAATTTCTCAGTTCCTCGAGGGTGAGGACGTTGCCTCGTTCGCTTTTGCTTCATCTCACTCCCCGTCCCTCAGCACGCTTGGCCCGGTACCTAGCGCCAGCCTAGGAAGCGGAATCAATGTCTCGTTTGTTTAAACATAATAATGAATGAATGTTTCTTCGTTTAAACATAATGTAGCACTCCTTTGGAGAGAATCGCTTCTCAAGTTTTTTGTACGTAAGCTGATGGTTGAAATGGAAGGAAGACTGTTAAAAAAAAAAAAGAGGATTTTCACAAAAGGATCTTTATAGACATGTACGTTAATATTATAACGATAACATTGAAAAAAAGTTTTTCCGCCTCTTTAAAAGGAATGGCTCTGGAGGAGGCAGTTATATTTGGAAAAAAAAGAAGCTGATGTAAAAACGAAAGGTAGCAATGATTTCTTTTTTACTGTTTTAAAAGAAAAAAATTATTTTAGCCTCTTTTTCTAGTTGGAAATTTTCGCTGAAGAGAATTTTGAGGGCTGAAATGGTTTAAAGTCTGTTTCTACCAATGTTATTGTAAAGGGTTTTTGTCATCTATGCTACCCTCATATATCTCTCTGCATTAAGAAACATTTCTTACGTGCTTCTTTCCAATTTGTTTGCAATCTGTTTTGTGTGGTATTTGGAAAATGAAGGTGATGTAAAAACAAAACGTAGCAATGAACACTTTTTACAGATTTAAAAGAAAAATGTATTTTAGCCTCTTTTTCTAGTTGTAAATTGACCTAATTAGGCAGCTTGGTAGTGCAGTGGATAGAGTACTGGACCTGGAGGCAGGAAGACTCATATCCAAATCTGGCCTCAGACACTAGCTGTGTGACCCTGGGCAAATCTTAACCCCGTTTGACTCAGAGTTCCCTTCACTCCCCCCTCCCTTCAGGGATAGGACTCACTGATCATTCCTTTCTAAACCCACCTTTCCCCCCAAATTTCTTAACCTTCCTTTGTTTAAAAGGTATATAAATTCTCTCCATCCATTACTTGTTTTCTGATCAGCATAGGCAGGACAGTTCCCATGTAAATGTTTTTTTCTTCTCTGCTTAATAAAAATGCTTTTTTAATTTCACAGGCATTGTCTGGTGGTGGTGGTGGTGCTGGTGCTGGTGCTGGTGGTGGGGGTGCCAGTGGTGTTGGTGGCCGTGTTGCAGTCTGAGAGGTTGAGACCCCTCAAAGACTGGTGTACAGGACAGAGTCGTCTGGAATGAATTCACAGACTCAAGCGTTCTTTAAGTCAAGGTGGCAAAGACTTATTGTTCCGCTTTTCAGCGGGTAAGGATTCTTAAGGAACCTGCAAGAGACTGAGGATAGAGCTAGGGTTTATATGGAAAAGGGCATGGGAAAGGAATGCCAGGGACACTGATGAGGTAATCTAAAGTTCCAGGTGTCTGGGAGCTATGGATGAGAAAGTCCAGGGAGTATACCGGACAGGGAGGGAGACAGCAGAGGTATGGATCTTTGGAGTCTGGCAGGAGGAAGAGTCCTTGGGCTGGCCAAGGACAAAACTCCTTGGGCTGGGCAAGGCACCCCTCTCCCTCTGTCTTGATGAGAGAATCCTCTGCAACAAGGGAAAGCTTTCTCACAAGACAGGAACTTATAAGAAATTGGAAGGCTTCCAGAGACGTGATCTGAGGGCCGGGGCCTGAGCAGCCCAGCACTCTCTCACCTAGCTTTGTGTGTATAGCTGCACCAGAGAGAAAGATAAGGGTCGTGCTGGGTGGGGCCCAGGCATGAATAACTGTTACGCAGTGTCCTTGGGCTGGGGAGTGGTTGTCAGAGACAGTGTTTCTGAGGTAGGGAGAAATTGGGGTCCAAGTACAAGCACAAGCACCCGGTTGTGATTTGTTTTGTTTTCCTTTAGGGAAAAGGGGGATTTAGTTCTCAAGAACTGGCCTTTTTATTCTCTGGGCATCTTCACCTTTAAGGGAAAGAAAGTCTCAATTCTCTAAAGAGAAAGTCTGCCTGGGTTTACACCACCAATGAAGAGAGAGTCTCTTACCAATATGCTTTGGGGCTGGGTTATATTCATACATAGATTTAAACCTGGAAACTTACTGTTCATCTAGTCAAAACTTTTCATCTTACAAATCCCAGCAAGGTTAAGTAACTTAACTCCATCACACAGTAGGTGGCAGTCAGTATTCAAACCCATCTTTTGATTCAAAATCCAGTATATTCTCCGTTGCTCTAATCACCTTCAGTCTTTCAAATATGGTAGATTTTTCAATTATGGAATCCTGGATTAAGCCAAAACACTTTTGAGTACTATACCATATCAGGGAGATTTTGATTATTAAACAAGTGATACTTTCGTTTATCAAAATATTAAGTCTTATGAATTCTACAGCTATCTATAACTGCCCCAAAAAGTGCTAATTAATCTAAATTAAGATCCTAGAGAAGATCATGTATTTAACATGAGTGAACCTATTTATTCTAGGAATAGATAAAATCAGTTTTTTCAACATAATTATATATTTGGTTCTTTGGTTTATTGCAACAAGACAACTAGTATATTTGATTCAAAGCTTTCCTCTTGTAAAAATGATCTTTTTTCTTTGCTCTTTGTCTAGGGATTGAGATTAGATGAATGATTGGATTTATGTAGGGAAATTTGAGGTAACTCCCACCACCAATGCATGTCAGCATTTACTCTACAATTTATAATATTAGTTGTCTAGAGTAATGAGTAAAGTGATGAGGTTAAGTGAGTTTCCCAAGGTCAAACAGCCAATATCATAGTCAAGATGGAACCCAGGTTCCCAATTGATCTTGACTTGAAGGCCATTTCTATGAACTACACTACAATTGCCTCTATTTTTTTCCTATTTAGAGTAGCAAAAAATTAACTACTTCATTTTTTAAAGTAACTTATAAAAACTTGAAATAATGAGTCATGAGAAATATTTGTGGAAACTTTCAATTTCATAGCTATAAGAACTTCTAATAAGAACTGCATTTTATCTATAACTTCTAGCCTTAGCATGTTCCACTAATAAAACTAAGTATATTAAATGTTTGAAAACAACATATTAAAAATACACTTTTGACTTGAAGAAACAGACTCAATTTCAAATTATGTGACTCAATTATTATGACTCAAGGTCACTTAAGTAATAAAAGTGGCCATCAGGATTTGAGCCTAAATTCTCTACTCCAAATCTATGGTTCTTTCCACTTCACAGCATAATGAAAGCTATTGATAAACCCTGGTGTATGGTGTATGGTGCAAAGTAGTAGTGCTTTGTTGAACTGATCTTAAAGGATACTCTTTGAAGAATAATATAGTATCAGGGCAGCTAGGTGGTACAGTGGATAGAGTACTGGCCCTAGAGTCAGGAGGACCTGAGCTCAAATCTGGCCTCAGACACATAACACTCACTCTGGGAAAGTCACTTAACCCCAATTGCCTCACCAAAGAATAATACAGCATAAGAAATGTTTCTGGTAACTCCTATTTATGTAATCATCACTTTCTGTGGTAAAAGTACAGAATTCGACTGCATGCTATTGAACTTAGTTGTGGCCTCCTAACTAGCTAGCCTCTAAACTATCTTGCATCACAGTGTTAGAATATTCTTAAAAGATCCCTCATGTCACCTGTCTACTCAAAAACCTCCGTTCTCATTGTTACCTATTTGTGAATTGTAGAAAATGTAAGTTCCTGCCCTTTTATTTCAGGAGTCTCTTGGAGTAAATCGAATAAATACCTCCCAGTTGGCTCTTCAGTTACCTGTAAAGTGCTTGGTTCTTCCTCCGAAGCTAAGAGTGAGTTAGAGTGAACCCCCACTTCATCAGGTGACTAGCACCACTACAAACAAGTCTCTTCTCATCCTTCTGCTGAAATGGCCTTCTCTGAGCTCACTTGGATCTACTCGGCCCTCATCCTTCTCAACGATGAGGTTACAGTCACAGAGGATAAAATCAATGCCCTCATTAAAGCAGCAGGTATAAATGTTGAACCATTGTGGCCTGAATTATTTGAAAAGGCCCTGTCCAGTGTCAATATCTCAAGTCTCATCTGCCATGTAGGAGTTGGTGGACCTGCCCCAGCAGGTGGTGGTGCTGCCCCTGCTGGAGCGGCATCTCCTGCACAGCTGCCCCAGCTAAGGAGAAGAAGAAAGAGAAAACAAAAAAAAGAATCCAAGGAGTCTGATGATGACATGGGCTTGGGTCTGTTTGATTTAATATTTTTTGTAACTTTAAATAAAAAACAACTCAAAAAAAAATACCTCCCAATTGCCAAACTATACTTGACAAATTCAAGATTCAAATGTTATATATACTAGATGTTATATACTTGATGATTCACTATGATTTGTAATAAATGAACATCTATAGATTCTACTCAGAGCACCTAGTATGCTGTGGTTCGTGCTGAGGAAAATGTTAAGAAAAATAAGACATCGCATTACATTCAAAAGTCAGTCTGAAACAAACTGGCTCCAACTCATCTTTCCAGCCTTATCACCCACTACTTCCCTATAAGAACCCTATTTAGTTATGTGCACCAGGGGTAACAAAGAAGAGTCTAAGATACTTCTGAACGCATCCCAAACCAGATTAAGTGTAATTGTAATTAAACATTGTAATTGTAAATGTAATTGAGAAATATTTAACAAAATAAAAATGCAGTGCATTCTATTGAATAGTTCTATTCATATATATTAATGTATACTTGTATGATTATAATTAATATAAAAGAATAATATTCAATACTTCTATTGAATAGAATATAGATAATGCTAATATGTGGTTTTCTAAGTCAATATGCAGCCCACAGGGATCTTTATATGCAGTTTAGTGACCATTTCTGTTTGAGTTTAACACCAGTGATGTACACCATACTAGTTGCTTGCTTCCTGGAGCACAACTAGTAACTCTGAGCATTTGTTCAAGCCATCCCTACATTTGGAATGGCCTCTACTCCTCAATCCCAGCTCTACTTATTGTCTTACCTGAGGGCAAGTATAACCTCCTCCAGGAAGCATTCTCTGATTACTGAGGCTGAAAATAATCACTCTCTTCAGTTCTTAGTACTTTGTAGCATTTTTCAGTATTCATCACATGCTGCCTTTTATTATGGTTAATGGACCCTAAGTATTAATCACCCTAGTTCTATTCATTTGCAGATGAGGAGATTGTGGCCCAAAGAGATAATGTCATAGATTTTGAGAAAGAAGTAACAAGCTGACGAGATAGTTTAGTACAAACAACCCAGTCACTTAACAGATGGGGAAATCAAGATCTAGGGAAGGTAAGTGACTTACTCAAGGTCACATTATAAATGGCAATTGAGACTTGAACTCCAGTCCTTTGATTTCAAATTCAGTCCTCTTTCTGCTGCTAAGTGTGGTCCTATCTATTCCAGTGGATTGAATGCTTATTAAGTGTAGAACCTTGTCTTATATATCTTTGTATGACTCAGTGCCTTGCTCTACAATTTTTTTAAATGAATGAATGAAAATTGTAGGCTGGTTGAGATTCATTAAATGGGAACTAAATCTTCTGATAAATCTCAGGACTGCTACACAGGTATGTTTTTGAGAAGATATTTTTTGAAGTTTTATGACTAATCTGGTAAGGTCCAATCATAAAGAAATCTCCCAAAACCTAACAATGGAAAAGAGAACAAGTACAGAATATGGTGGAACTGAGAATTTTGCTCAAAAATCTGTACAAAAGAACAGAACAATTAACCAAGGTCTTCAAGAACTACAATACTTCCTAGACTCAAAACATTTCTTCATTATGACGTGTTCTTTTTTTCCCCTAAGAACAAATAACTTAGAGAACATGTAGTTTATTTGGAAAGAAATGGCTTTTCTTTTTTTTTTTGCACATTGCTCAGAAGGTTCCCCCAGAATATGTGGGATGACAGGTATACTAATGTACTGTTGTTGGAACTATTGGATTGTTACAGTCATTCTAAATGTTTGGTATTAGGCAAGAAAAGAGACTAAACTGTTCATACTGTTTGGCACGCCAATACATCTAGTGACCATATAAGAAGGCAAAGGACAGAAACAATTGTCCATGGCATGGTGGAAATTGTTTTGGATTTGGAATTAAAATACCTAGGTTCAAATCTCACCCCTGCCACCTATTAGCTATAAGACATTAGATGAGTCACTTCAACTCTGAAATCTTGAAAATGAGATGATATTTGTTAAAAAAAAAAAAAAAAATCACTTAGCACAGTGCCTGGCACATGGTAAGCACTATAGAAATCCTTGCTTCCCTTCCCTTCAGTTTCCTGTAAAATGAAAGGACTGGAAAGATGGCTTCTAAAGTCCCTTCTAGCTCTAAATCTATGATTCTAGGAATAGGGGTTGGACCTGTGATTTATTGGTACAGACAGCTCCCAGGTAAGTAAACTCCCAGTGCGACTTGGCACATTCTTTGGACCATAGAGTCTTAGAGATTTGCCCAAAGCACTGAGAAAGTAAATGACTTGCCCAGCGTCACACAGCCTATGATCCAGGACACATATTCCAAAATATACATGACATTACTCTGTGGTAGCAAAGAACTAGAAACAAAATGGGTGCCCATCAATTGGGGAATGGAAGAAATGTATATGAATGTACACGTAGATGAATATAAGGAAACATCATTATGTAGTAAAAATGAATAAGAAATTTTGTAAAATGAGGGAAAATTTATATCAGTACAGAAATAATCAGAACCAAAAGAACAGTATGCACAGTGACTAAAATAATATAAATTGAAATAGCACTAAAAGGAAATAACTGTAAAATTGAAAAATCAATGATGGTCCATAAGAATAGACAATGAAGCATCGCTCCTCACCACAGAGAAGTGGGGGTACAGCTTACTTCAGATGCAGTCACTGTATTGGGTGTTTTTGCTTCATTTTTTTGTCTGTTACAAGGGTGGGTACGATTTGGAAGTGGGTAGGGGGAGACCTTTCCAGAAATGACTGTTACATAGAAATAAAAATGGCATTAATAAAACTTATTTTAAAGTAATTTCAAAAATTGGACAGGATGAATTAATAGGTAAGAATCAGTAGCAATTTGAACATCCTCACCTGGGTGATCCCCTACTCTAAAAAGCAACATAGGATCGTGGAAAGAGCAGGAGTATAGGTTTAAGCCCTGGGTTTTTACTTCTGTATTTGTTTGTTTGTTTATTAGCTACATGATCATTACAAAATCACAATTTCTCGTCTGTAAGATGGGAACAATAGTCCTTGCAATCATACATTTATTAAGTGCCAACTATGTGCCAGGCATTAGACTGTACTCTCTTATAGCATAGAAATGATTGAATGAAAATGTGAAAGGCACATTTTAACCATGAGGTACTTTACCAGTGTAATCTATAATTACTCTTTAGTCTCACAGTTTCTCTATTTTAACTTTTTTCTTTTTTCCTGCTTTTGCTCAATTGAAATAATGCATTGTGCTTTTTAACAATCATTCCCTTTTATCAAGTTCTATCGAAATGCTATTAGTTATGCCACATATTAATATGTTCCTAGATATTTTCTGTTGTTGTTGTTGTTGTTCAATTGTTTCAGTTGTGTCCGACTCTTTGTGATCCCATTTGAGATTTTCTTGACAAAGATACCGGAGTGGTTTGCCATTTCCTTCTCTAGCTCATTTTACAGATGAGGAAACTGAGGCAAACGGGGTTAAGTGACTTGCCCAGGGTCACACAGATATTGTCTGAGGTCAGATTTGAACTCAGGAAGATGAGTCTTCCTGACTCCAGACCTGACACCCTATCCACTGCCATCACCTAGCTACCCTCCTAGATATACACCACATATTAAATAATGTCCCCTAGAACACAATTAACAATAGATAAAAGCCAGATAAATAATATGTTTAGCCTATCATGTGGCCTTTAGTTTCCCTCGTAGTGCTGATGAGGTGGTGGGACTTGGACCCCAAAAAGCCCTAAGACCATGTTTCCCCACCCCCCTCAACCCTTGTGAGAATATTTTCCCTTGTTGCAAGCCTCACTCTGGAATGCCCTTATCAGGACAGAGACAGGTTGCCTGCCTAAGGATCTTGTCTCTGGTACTTGCCCAAGGTCCATGCCTCTAGAGGGCAGCTAAACAAAAAACTCTCTTTTCTCCCTCAACATCTGGTATACTCCCTACACTTTGCCATCCACAGCTCCCAAAGACACCTGGACCCTTAGATTACCTAATTAGCATCCCTGACATTCCTTTCCCATGTCCCTTTTCTATGTAAGTTCTAGATTTACCCCTATTAGGTTGCAAGTTCCCCAAAAGGGAATTTTGCCCACTTCTGTTGGCATTATAATTAACTGTCTCTTGACTGAAAGAAGGCTGGAGCATGTGAATTCATTCCAGACAACTCTGCCGTGGCATTCTCGGGGTCTCAGTACCCCAAACCTCTACCCCTAACCTCTTCAGTGCCACCATAAAAGAACTTCAGCTCTTTAGTCAGAAGTAGTTAGGCAGACAGAAATAGTTGAGCAAAATTATTATTGTTGTTGTTATTTTGGCTCAGATCTGTGATTTCATCTGTGTAGGGAATTCCTAAATGAGTAAACTCCTGCTGTTATAAATCTGCAAATGTTGTGAATCTTAGGGTCTTAGAAATCTGCCTGGGCCACTGAGAGGTTAAATTATTTGCCCAATATTACCCAACCCATATGCATCAGTAGCTGGACTTGAACCCAGGTCTTCTCCACTCAGGCAGTTCACTGTCTACTAAACTAAACTTCAGGGTTATTGAATGATAAATGCCCAGATTCACAAATATTCACATGACTAAAAGTTTTAAAAAAACTTTATTTAAAGAACAAATTTTCTAAAAGTTCCAGTCTTAGTTAACAAAATCAGCAACCTACAAATCCTAACCCCTTTTATTTAAACATAGGTTTAGTGTTCCTTTTATGAAAAAAAAAAAGAGCATCCTATTACCATGTTCTCATTAGTAGATTACACAAGTGGATAATCAATATGGAATTAAAAAAAATAAACTAGGAACCACCTTTTACTAGAGGTATATTTCAGAGGAACTGCCAAAGTCTCACTACTTTGCAATAATGAAGGTATTTGTTTGAATACCCCCAAAAGACCCTTGAAAAGAAAGAAGAGCAAGAAAACCCCGGCTTCTATAATTCACAAATTGGCAGCAGTGAGAGTAGGGTTCAGAATTTCCCCAGTGAGAGTATAGAGTTCTAGCATGTGAAATGCACCCCTCAGGTTTTGTTTTTTTTTGTCTTTAACACTTGCTTTATGTATCAACTGATAATGTGGATAGGATTTAGGGATTCAGCAGTAGATTCATGAATCTTACAGTAAGACTGAATCAGACAGACAATTAAAGCATCAGCGTGGTTGTACTCAGTGGCTTAAATATTCCTTAATGTTTATACTAACTTATGCCTCCACCCTATAGTGGAGGCATAAGGTCCTAGGAGATCCCATTCCATATCACTATGTAGTAGTTTGAAGGTCCAGACACCTAACCCATCCCTCCCCCAAATTAAATTTAAAAATCTAAAAGCTCCACGGATTACAAATAGGACCCAGATTTCTAATCTATGTTTTACAGAAATTTACCAGGTCAAAAAAAGCAAGAGTATATTGAGTCAATGGACTATATTACCTACAACCAATAGATGGTGCACTCAGTTCCAAGATGTTTGAGATTTCTGATAAAGGTCAACAAGCAAAAAGTCAAGTGTAGTGGTAGTGATACTGATAATTGTATAGAGAGCTACCAAAGCACACTGGACAATTTCAGATGAGACTTGATTATCATTATATACCTTAGCTGAAATTAGTAATTGGTAGCTCTATCAGCTACCCTTTTTAAAAGGGATGATGAAGACTTACATTTTAATCTTAAATGCAGAATAATCTTCAATGTTCATCTGAGAAAAGTTATTTTAAAGTTTCATGCTTGGTTAAGTAGTTCATATCTTGATTCTGTTAAACATACCTTAATCTTCAACATGTTTAGAAAGTAATCACAGTTTGAGTTTGGTTTTTAAAAAGAAATTGCTTTCTAATTTTGATTGCTTATTTTCTTTAATTTTACAAGATCAATACTCTGTGCTTATCTGTTCACACATCTGAGATTACCCATCACAATCATATACAAGCTTAGGTACTGAGAAACTACAAGACTGTGTTTTTCCCACACGATGGGATCTATTCATACATAACATAAGCTCAGTAAAACTCCCTACTACTGCATGTCCTATTTTTCATACACAACTGTGCAGTACCTATCCATTTAATCATTTCCATCATAATCACTATAACCCAAATAGGCACTATTTCTTCTTTCATTAATACTGGACATCTTTTTCCATGCTGACTCCTGATGAAAACTAGCACTCAAAGATCGGCCCAGACGCCCATGATGCTTCTTAGAGATGTTGTCTTCACTCTCAGATTTGGCAAGTGTATGCGCTGGAGGTTGTGTTTCTTGTCGGCTATTTCCAAATGGGAAGTTCCAAAGGCCAAATCTTTGCCAATTAAGTCTCTGAAAGGCTATGATGCAATGTAGATTCCCCCCTACCTAAAAGACAAATATTCAATTCAACAAATAGGCATTGAGCACCTAATATACAAGTTCCTATGCTAAGAGCTCCAAACAAAATTCAGTTTAAACACATTCAGTCCCAACCCTCAGGGAACTCACATTCTAGTTGTGAAGATAAGATTTTTTTTTTTTGAGGGAAGAGGGGTATCTAGACTTGTGATTACATCTGTGTAGGGAACTCCCAATGTGGAATGATGATCAGCAACTTGGGGTTTTAGAAATTTGTCTGGAGCACTGAGATTAAGTTTTCTCACTGAGTCTCATAGCTAGTATGTGGCAAAGACAGAACTTGAACACAGATTTTCCTGTTGCCAAGGCCAACTCTATTAACTACATAATTCTGCCTGTCAATAGATGAGGTAAGATAAAAAAAAAACAAAGGATAATACAAAATTTGATATAGTTAATAATATAATAGGGCATTGAATGCTTTGGGCCTTATTTTGTTGACTGAGAAAAATTATACGTGCAAAGTATATGTCTCTTTTAATAAAGTATAATAATAATAATAGCATGTTATAGTGTTTTACATATGTTATCTCGTTTGATCCTGAGATACCTGGGAGATAGGTGTTATTATTATCCTCATTAGATAGTTGAGGAAACTGAAGCACAGAAAGGTTAAGTAATTTCGAAGATCACACAGCTCATGAGTGTCTAAGGCAGGATTTTAACTTAGGCCTTCCTTTTTCTAAGTCCAACACTAACTCTAGTATATTACTTAGGCCCCCTAAGGGTATACAGTGCTTCACTGTGTGGTCATAGTGCCTAGCACATGGGCACTTAATAAATGCTTGCTGACTGACTGAAGTCCTAAAGTCCCCTTACAATTCGCCTTTCTTTCCTCCCACCTGCCTCAAAAGTATAATGCCCTTCCCAGATTCCACCTACGTTTTCTTGTCTCTCTTCCTACTGCTTGCCTTTCTTCAAATGACCAAAGGTCCAAAGCACTTCTCAACCCCACTCCTTTCATTGAACAGTACAGTGCCCTCAGCGATGATACATCCATATTCTGGTCTCTCCCTCTACCCCCTCATCTAAAATAAGAAGGAACCCTTTGTATCCCATTTAATTCTTCACATACATTCTGCATTTCTTTCTCACTTGCTCTAATTACCTCTATTTTTTGTAGGCAGTAGTTTAAAGGACAAGGGGAAGAAAAGGCACAATCTCAAAGTATTTTAGCATAGTGGTACTTTTTAGTGAGCTGGGAAGTGCATCTTCAGGTAGAATCTTATCTTACCTTCTTTGTTTTTCTATACTGTAGTCCCCTTTCTAGGTGTCGAATATCGAGGTATTCTGGATTTTGAGTGTTAAGGTCAACAACAATGTCTGCCCATCTAGAGTCAAGAAGAAAATTTAGGAGCTTGGTTGTTTTCTTTTCTAAAGCACTAGAGTAAAATTTTAATGAATTTTTTCATCTAGGCAAATTGCTATAGTGTTAATGGTTATTAGAATATAAACTCCCTGATAGCAGAATGATTTCACTTTTGCCCTTTTATCCAAGTGTCTTTAGCAGATATTTACTAAATATAAGATCACAGATTTAGTAGTCATCTAGTCCAACCTCATCATTTTACATCTGAAGAAACTGAGGCACAGAGCAGTTAAGTGAAATGTCCAAGGTCGCTAAATAAGTGAGTGGCAAAGACAGGATTCAAATCCATGTTCCCTGACTCCAGTTCCAGCATTCTTTAAACTGTACCAAAATGACTCCAAAAATATTGGTTGAATTGAATGAGATTTATCATGTCAATACTTCATTTTTCAAATTATTCTTTTACCATTACAATATATAATTAAAAGTAGTGGTGGGGGTTTTTTATCTAAAATTCTAGGTCAATAATTAAGTTTTCTAAAAAAAATAATGCATGGTACATCCACATAATGATAGTGACATATCAGGCTAATGCACAAAAACTATATATTTTCCTTTAGTTGTAGGCAAGTCCAGATAAAGAATTAAATGTAATTCAACAGCACCTTAACTTACTTTTTACAGTGAATGGTAGGATGTTTTCTACTTGGCTCTCCAATTAAGATCCAGTATTCTACTTCTTGCTGTAACAAATGATTCCTGCTAAATACAAAAAACATTCAGAATATACTCAGGTCACAACATGCACCAATGCCTTAATCAAAATGAAGGTCTTCAGTTTCCTTAAGATTTCTGAGTTAAGTAGAACAAGATGATAATTTGGTTCCAATGGAAAAATATAAACTACTACAGTAAGCACTAAAAGCTGGGAAAGCTATAAGAATTTAGGCTTTGTAAAATTTATGACAACCATTAGAAAAATGGGGCATAATATTTAGTCCCATCTCATTTTCCCAATGACTGGGACTAGGAGAATTGATGTATACCAACTCTCAGACTCTAGAAGAAAAGAAAAGGTCATATTCTTCTTTGTAGATCATTTACTGAAGACTACTGCAAGTTTCAAAAAAATGCAATGGAAGCAATTAACCCTTAATAGCAAGGTGTTAAAATAAAAGGGGGGAGTGCACATTTCACAATGATTGGAGTTCTCTGAAATAAAGTAAAATTATAAGATATCATTGAAACAACAGAAACCCCATATCAATATTTCTATTAATGATGAGGATGCCTTCCAAAAACAAACTTCATTGCCAGAAACTTCCTACTAAAGGAAAAATAGGCAAGAAAGAGATTTGTTCTAGGATATGGATTTCTTCCCTACCTCACTTTTGTCAGATACTTCCCATTGAGGAAAAATGGACCGTGACTGACTGCTTTTCTTGAGAAGAGATTCTGTAATCCTCAGGAGAATATTTTTATAATGAAAGACATGTGTGGCTCTGGCTTATATATTAACAGCTTATATGTGTTTCCCAAGAAACGTTATTCCTATCTAATCAGGCCACTTGAATGGTTCTTCCCTAGCCACATCCAGGACCTATTTGCTATTCATTTCCAGTCATTACCAAGTTCCCTCAAAAATTCAGATTATTCCTTCTGTACCCAAGATGAATTTATTCAGATAGATGCTATTCCCAGAGGATTCCTTAATTATCAATAATATTTGCCCTCTCCATCCTCAACCAATATCCAGAGGATAATGTTTCCCTGGTACTTTTAACTATACCAGCACATTACTCCAACCTATTATAAAGAATCCATTTCTACACAGTTTAAACATAAGAACTAGGACTGAGATGCCTAATTTTTCTTTGCTGACAAACTCTTTGGGGGCAGCTCCTGAGTCATGCCTGAGGCACTTTTGTCTTTAAGTTTCCCAAAGATTCCTTTCAAGATTATTCTTTCCAATTAAGATTTTGCTCCAATTAAGAACAAACAAAAGAAAATAGAAAACATTTGTAAACATTAAATAGCAACCAATGTGTCAAGAAAAGACACACTTGCCACTGTTTTGAGTGCCTAGCAAAACCTGAAGCCACCCTCAAAGTTGCTGTGGAACCAAATCAAAATACAGATAGCTTTCTGCAGAAGAAAAAATTAGCACCATTGAAGAATTCCCATTGATAATGCTTACCTGTATGCTTTATTAGCTTTAATTGGTGTTGCTTCAAATCCAATTGGACAAAAGTAATGATTCTGGCAATGGTAAATGTAAGCCAGTGATTCATCTTTCAGTCCATGTGTTAATTTTGACAATGCCCCTGAAGCTACAAAGAGAGAAATACCTGAGTCTCCAGAAAATGAGTGACAACATTTTATAGAAATTCTATGAGAAAATGTCACTTGGTACACAAAGAAAAGTGCTGAATGCATTAGAAAAGGACAGGTTGCCAGAAGTTTCACATTTTAGCTTCCACTTAAGAGAAAAAAGTATTTCAATCAATATAACTTTATAATTTTAAACTGAAAGTATAAAACATTGGATTTCTTGCTTCCCAACATATTTTGAGTAGTACATATTCTAATAGTCCATAAACTTTAATCATCAATTCTGTACTTATTTCCCCTGATTTACAAGTCAATGTAACTCTCATAAATCAGCAGACTCTTCCCAACATGCAAAGTCCTACTTCAAAAAAGAGAAGTTATAATATTTCTTAAGAGCTATAGATTGGAAGTGAACTCATCTTTTAAGTGGTGACACATACAAGCCTCTTTAAGGAGATAGTGCATCTTTTTGGCAGAAACAGCAGTAAGCTTCTCACCTTCTCGACCTTTTTACTTGTATTTTTCTGACATCTATCTGTCAAGTAACATAGAGGTATATTATGCCAAGAAAATAGCTTTTATCTAAGCCTTAGAACTGAGACTACCAACTAAAGTTCGATTAACTTGTATTTCCAGTAAAAAGCTAAATTATTTATTAACCAAAAAGTCCATTAAGGCAGAAATACTAACAATAACTGAAGTGGATGATAAACTTCTGAATCAGAATAATAATAAGGATGGCAGTTAATTGATTTTGTGGCTGCTAAAATAGCTGAAGATAGCTAAGAAAAGCCTATTTAATAGCCTACTTAATGAGTGCAGCATAGAACTAAGGAGACAAGGCATGCTTACTTATAGTCCTCAGCACTACACAGACCATCTGGACCCTTATGCCTTCAAATTATTTTCCAAGCTCAGCCCCTTCTATAGGTCTTTGTTAATAAGTGTAAATCCCATCAAGTGCATCACTATATTACACAAGGCCTCTCTTTCCTACAGCTTTGTTTATTTCATAATTATAATGGTTAAGGAAGCCTTCCCTATTAATGATAAGCTCCAAATGCCATGACATGATAAATAACATCATACTAATTATATAGAATACTAAAAACCTCAGTTAAATTCACAGTAAGTCAAAAGAAATTTAACTGTATCTACTACAAAAATGAAATGTTTAAAAAAAAATACATTGCCCACCCAGATTATGAAATGTAGTTAGTTATACAAGTAGACCATTAAGTTATTTCATTTGCATCTGAACACACACATATTCACATATCTATTTACTTATATACACATATACACAACACACAAAACTTAAACAATCACTACAACTGGACAATGAACTGGGTTTAGACTTGAGTAAGTAGATAAAATCAAGATAGGATGCATTTGGGAATATTTACAGTAATTTCAATATTCCCAAACTGCTTGCTAAAGCAAAAACCCATCTCTTTTATGAGATATTATTAATAACTGAAATAACTGAAATCTTGGGAGAGTTCAAAATGCGGGTGACTTAGAGTGCAAGACACAGGATAAGTTTAGGTAAGCTCTAATATGTTAACTATGATGCTCTGCTTGCATAACAGGAATGGAATAAAAGACATAATTAAGGAAATATAAGACCAGGAAAAAGGCAGACTAGTCAGGTACTGAGAATAAGAAACACCAGGTTGACAGATAACCCAAGTGTTATATCAGTATCCCTCAAAATATTAAAAGAATCTGAGTAATACCAACAAGTCATTAGGTAGATCCCCTGTGTAGAATTTATGGAAATTTATGCATAAAAATTGTTCTTATGCGAAATGAGGTATGGAATAGCTGCTATCTAGATTGGTAGAGGGAGTTTCCACACCAATGAAATCATGGATCCATCAAAATAAAAAATGAAAATTTTTTTATAAATTTTATTCAAAGTCTCAAAATATAAAAAGTGACACATTATAGTAATACAAATGAAAATGCATACAAGAACTAAAATGTATCCGATAAAACATGGAAGAAATTGAGTGTTCTAGTTTCTATAATTGGTATTCACTCTGGATAAGTTCCAAGTGATTGAGAAAATATAAAGAAAGGCTTTTGGCAATTATCTAATTCATAAATAATTTAAATATGTAAGAATTAAAGAAACTTGTACACCCAATATTCAAGTATGTAATGATAAAATCTGGTAGAGTAATAGCTCATTACTTGGCATCTGTGGAAAAGGAAGTACAATGTGGGAAAGGAGACTGATAATGGAAATAGGTTAAGTCTGGTAAGAGAGCTGATTGTGGGGAAAAGGGAGGGTGAAGGGCAAACAGGAAGGAGGGAAAGATAAGAATTTCTTTTTTTTAAAAAGGTGGGAGGTGGAGAGAATAAATCCTACTCAGTCAATATTGACTTACCTAAGGAGTATATGAAAACATTTTAAATGATATAATAAAGGCAGAAATAGGGAAATAAGTAAATCCATTCCAAACAAGTACAAATAAAAGAGATCCTAAAAATATTAAGAGCATTAACACTCTCAAGACAGAAATCATTTTTCAAATCTATGTATGCTCAGTAATGTCTTTAAAAAGTACTATTATCTCCCTATTACTATCAGGGGCACCACTATCCTCTAAGTAACCCTCAGGATCATCCTTGATTTCTTTTTCTTCCTCACCCCACATATCCAGTATTTTGCCAAATCTTATGGTTTCTACCTTCATAATATCTCTAATATATTCCCCCTTTTCTCTCCCTCTCATTGAATTCCAGTGGCTACCTATTACCTCCAAGATCAAAAAGAAACTCCTTTAGCATGTAAAACTCTTTCTAACATAACCCTTTCCTACCTTTCCCCTCATCTTACACAAATTACCCTCCTCCACTCATGCTATCATTCAGCTATACCAGCCTACTTAAAAGTTCCTTCCAGGAGACACTTCATTTCCTATCTCCATGCCTTTGCATAGGATTACTCTATTATATTTGTAATGTTCTTCCCCTTTATCTCTACTTGTAAGTTTCCCATGCTTCCTTCAAGACACCGTTCAAATTCCATTTTCTGAAGAAGCCCTTCCAATCTCCACCCCAGACTAGTGACTGTTGCTTTAAGATTACCTTCCTCCTTTTCAGTATAGATCTTGAATATTTATTACAATGTGTACTCTTTGAGGGCAGAAACTATAGGGTTTGGTTTGGTTTGGTTTTACCTTTGTTTATATCACCAGCTCACAGTGTAGTGCCTGGCATTCAAAAAAATGCTTGAGTGACTGTTAAATATAAAGTGGATTTTCTATAACAATGTATTCTAAACATGTACATTAGAGCTAACATTTATATAATGCTTACTATGTGCAAGGGCTTTAAAATTATTATCTCATTTGATCCTCCCAACAACCCTGAGAGGTAGATGCTAATATCCCCATTTTACAGATGAGGAAACTGAAGCAAACACAGGTTAAATGACTTTCCCAGGATCACAGAGCTAGAGTGTCTGAGACCAGATATGAATTCAGGTCTTCTTGACTTCAGACCCTGTGCTCTACCCATTTCACCACCTAACTGCCTCAAGGATTTTAGAATTGGAAGGTAAATTTAAGAGTTCACCTAATGTAATTCATTCCTCATATTTAAAATCAGTATAATAATGACACACTATGTATCTCACAAGAGTGTTGAGAAAAAAAAGTACTTTGTAAACCTTTAAAATACTCTATGTGATCCAATTCAATCCAATAAGCATTTATTAAGTCCCTTTTGGTTGGTTGGTTGTTGCCTTTTGTGCTCTAAGAGGACTAAAATGACATCACTATGTTGGGGTCAAGTTACATTGTGTCCAACTGTGGCCGATCAGACCAATACAAGCTCAGAATGCTCTACCACAGGTTGGGCACAAATAGGGCATGTGAACATTTGGGGTGGGGATATCTCTAAATTTATGCCTTTCATGTTTCTTTTGAGCTACTGCAATTCTGCTTCGCTTAGAGAGTGTGCTTGCCTTCTTTGATGCTAGCACGCCATGCTGAACGGTCCGTTGCCAGCATCTCCCATGTCACACAATCCATTTCAAAGTTCTTCCTAAGTCTCTATGGTGTGCAAAGTACTATACTAGGTACTAAGGTGCAAAGATGGAACAAGAAACAGTGTCTGCCATTAAGGAGCTTACTGTCTATTGGGCAGATACAATATGTAAACAGAACAATATATTCATGACAATTTGAAGACAAGAGAGCACTAAGGATCAAAGGCATCAAGAAAGGCTTTCCATTAGCTGACTGGAGATGATTCTAGAATGAAGGGAGGGATTTCAGGAAGTAGAGATTAGGAGGAAGGACATTCAAGGAACGAAGGCCAGCCTGTGCACAAAGTCACTAAGGCAGGAGGCAGAGTGACTAATTTGAGGGAAAATGGAAGACTATTTGGCTAGAATGTAGAGTTCTGAAAGAGGGGAGTGGAATAAAGTGAAATTAGCCTGGAAAGGTAGGTTGAAGCCAGACAGCGCAAGGCTTTAAATTCCACGCTGAGAAGTTTGTATTTTATCCTAAATGGAGTAGGGAGTCACTGGAGACTATTAAGCTGGGGAATGACATACTCTAACTTAATCTTTAGAAGCACATAAAACTGTAAGTTATTATTTTATAAATAAGAAAACTGAAGCCAAGAGAGGTTAAATGCTTGCCCAGGGTTCTTTGTAAATTATGAAGTGCAGTATATTATTATCATTAATGCAATAAGTTACAATACAACCCACCTCCCATGTTTTCCCACCTCTGTACCTTTGTTCTATGCCTGCAATGCCCTCATACCCTCCTCACCCTCCGCATCATACCCTCCTCTTCTAATCCACATCATCCTTTAATGCCTACCTCAAATGTCATCTTGCTATATGAATCCTTTTAAGGTTTCATGAAGCCTGCAGATTTCCCTCATCAAATGTCCAGAGCAATTTGTTTACACTTTTCTCATACATTTACCAGGAACCATTTTACACTGTAATCCTTTGTATATATGTTAAATG